AACAACATCGTCTAATACTTAAGCGAGAGTGCTTGTCGTCGACTACACCGGAGAGGTGCCGGTGACCTGTTTGTTGGCTCGAAAGATGTCGCCGTCGTCGACGGGTGATTCGCCTCTTTCCGCCGGCGCAGCGAGCAATTCGGGACGGCCTTTCCCCTTGCCCTCGAGAGAGACATTCTCTATTGAGGTTGCCTCGCCGCAACTTAACCCGGCCACCAACGGCTCAGTGCTAAAGTCTCCGACGGCCGTCAACAAGGCTCAGCGCACTGCAAGTTTCAGCCGGGAAGGAATATTAGGTTCGGCACAAAAAGCCCGGAATCTTTCTCAGACGTCTGAGATCCGTACTGAGCAAATCACCAATGGCATGTCGAAAGCATCTAGCGACGAAGGGGGGAACCCGCTAAAGAGGCGAAATACGGATGCGACTGTTGACTACCCTCGGAGACGAGCCACCATCGCGGTAGGTCAGATGGTAGCAAAGGCTATTTAGGTGAGATTCTAACCAAAGTAATAATAGTGCGAAGTTTGCCGCTCTCGGAAATCAAGATGTGACGGCACGAAACCAAAATGTAAGCTGTGTACGGAACTTGGGGCTGAGTGTATATATCGAGAGCCCGGGATCAAGCTCGACGCCGGCGACAAGCTCATTCTTGAGCGACTGAATCGAATCGAGAGCCTTCTTCAAATCAACTTGACGAACGGCCACCCAAACGCAATGCAGATTACCCACGATTCCCCGCCCATAAGTAACGGGACGGCTCTTAGCGGCGATAATGTTATGATTCAAAACTCATCCGGTAACTTTGTCTCTATTATACCGAGCGGTGGCTTAGGTACTTGGACAAGTCATCCCCAAGGTACTAACATCTCTACGATGCCTAAAGTTCACACCAACGCCGCGCTTCACCTGCTTCAATGGCCATTGATTCGGGATCTGATCGGACGTCCGTACGACCCACAGATCATCCTACAGCTCGAGATGGCCCGAGAGCCACTACATTCTTTGGCTAAGACGCCCTGTGTCGATCTATCGAATACTAATGCTTACATTGAAGCCTACTTCGAGAGGGTGAACGTATGGTACGCTTGCGTCAATCCTTTTACTTGGAGGAGTCATTATCGTACGGCATTATCGACTGGTTTTCGCGAAGGTCCAGAGAGCTGCATCGTGTTACTAGTGCTTTCACTCGGCCAGGCGAGCTTGCGCGGTAGTATATCTAGGATTGTGCCTCAGGAAGACCCCCCGGGCCTGCAATATTTTACGGCTGCATGGTCACTCTTACCCGGCATGATGACTGCGAATAGCGTTCTAGCTGCGCAGTGCCATTTATTAGCCGCTGCGTATCTTTTCTACTTGGTACGGCCGCTGGAAGCGTGGAATTTGCTGTGCACGGTGAGCAGCAAACTACAACTATTACTTATGACTCCGATTCGCGTACCGGAAGACCAGAGAGAACTCTTAGAACGAATTTACTGGAATGCTCTCCTTTTCGAAAGCGACCTTCTCGCGGAGTTGGATTTGCCTCATTCCGGAGTAGTTCAATTTGAGGAAAACGTGGGACTTCCTGGCGGATTTCAAGGAGAAGAATCTGAAGCAGTCGGTCGAGATGATCTCTGGTATTTCCTAGCTGAAATCGCCTTAAGAAGGCTTCTCAATCGAGTTAGCCAACTCATTTATTCCAAGGATTCTATGGCATCAACTACGAGTCTAGAGCCTGTCGTCGCGGAGCTGGACTTTCAGCTTACGCAATGGTATGAAAGTCTCCCTTTGGCCCTTCAGTTCCCGTTCACCCGTACGACTCTACCGGACCCGGTGCAAACGGTGCTACGATTACGTTTCTTTGCTTGCCGAACCATCATCTACCGTCCGTATATCTTGGCGGTGCTGGATAACGAACAGGCCGTATTAGACCCCTCAGTGCGGGATAGCTGTCACAAGTGCCTCGAAGCCTCAATCAGGCAATTGGAGCACATATCTGCACAGTAAGTAGAATCCCCCTTTTATGATTGGACAATCTCCCTAGCCTCATGCTCTTGTTCCCGGCTCTTCAAATTCTTGACCCAATCTAACGATTTGACCGTAGTCACGCCGGCCATATGCCCTACCTCTGGCAGGGCGCTCTCTCTATTGTTTCACAGACGTTGCTGGTTATGGGGGCTACCATGTCACCGTCTCTATCTAACATACTATTGACGCTCGTACCTCACCGCGAAGTCATCGATCAAATCATCAATGACGTAATTATGGACATCGAGAGGATGGCAATACTGGCACCCAGCTTGAGTTTAGCTGCCGAGATCATCAAGGAGGCCGAGGTCCGCAGGCGAACATACCTGAATGGATGATACACGGTCGAGCATGACGCAGTGCGCCAGTCCTGATGGGTATGTTATGATGGTTATTGGCCGGTCCGAATGCTTTAGAGGCCACGACGATCGGATGCTGTACTCTTGACCCCGAAAATTCACCACCTCTATAACTGCAGCCTGCATGGAAGTGTTAGCTTTTACGATGTCATATCTACCCGCTGTCTGGGCCGGCCGGTTCGCGTATCTAGGAACGAGTGCAGGCACTTGCAGAGATTCCCGTCCAGCATTCTCGGCTATGCTCGAAACGTCCTGTCTCTATTGCACGAGGACTTCTCCCGCGGCATGCAAGCTGCGATACGACGCCAAATTGGTGAGGTTATGACAACCAACTTGGTGCGACTAGCCACCGTATTCCTTTTCAGCCTTGTCGGGTCCCTAGGGATCAAGTCCCTCCGTGGCTGATTTCTTAGATGATTGACGAACCCCTAGGAACAAGGCCGTTGAAAAAGGGCCTAGGGCGGCCAAAGTAGTAGGCTGCACCGCTTTGGCAGCACTGCTGTGCCCTGGGGTTGCATCCTGGGGGTGAACTGGTCCAGCATGGTTGGCGGGGAAAACTCTTGGGTCTGGGGGTTGGCTGGATGGCTAGGCTTTGCGGTCCGGATTCCCGACAACCCTGCTCACATACCTGTTCACATAATTTCCCCATCACCGAATATGCGATGGTGAAGGGTCGGATTCTACAGCCGTCGCCAAATCTTTCGTGTTTCGTGTTTCGTGTTTCTAGAGTTGGAGAAATGTCTACGGACGTTCTCCTATACGTTGTATCTCGATCTGAGGACATGCGCGGCATTTCTCATCTTCCTATACTACCTTACCTTACCTTACTCAGCACCCTATTACCATCCAGAACGGCATCATGAGTGCCGATGAAGTCATCGGCAAGGAGGAAGATCTTGAGTCGAAGAAGACATAGCCAGCTGGCTGGCCCTTCCAGCCCCCAATCCCCCTAGCATCTCACATCCTTACATTGTTGTATACCTACCTATCCTTTAACTGTCTACACTTGGTTGCATGTATGTTTCTTGGTTGGGTATAACCAATGTGTACTATTCAGCTCCCCAGCGGATGCAGTCTCGAGAGTGTTGTTCGGCGCTACCGGCATTATTCCCAAGCGTCTTGGTCTACGGAGGCTGCGTCATCATTATGGTTAATTCAAAGGAAAGAAGATGTAACGGGAGATTATGTATATCTCGTAGAGTAGCTCATATTTGATGGTGGGAGGTTACGAGGCAATGACAAAAATTAATGAGTCGAGATAACTACGTCGTCATCTCTACCCAATCGATTTTCAGATATATTTAATATGAGTACCTACTTACTTCTATTTATACACTTACCCACTTACTCGCCTTTATAAATATCGCGTGCTATTTTGAGAGATCCAGCACACCTTTTTGGATAGAGAAGCCTCCCCATTTAGCACGTGGGAAGACATAAGCGAGATGCAATTGAGCGGCTTCATTAAGTGCGTAGTCCAGATGTCCAACATATAAATGCTATGCCGGCATGTCAGTCACTGCCATCTGCCAGGCTTACTTACAAGCACTTTCCAGGAGGCTTTCGTTCCGCTAGGTAGATGAGGGGGCTCTATAAAAGGGAAGCATTTTTCAAGAAATATATAAAATAGAATAATTATAAAAAAGAAAAAAGAAAAAAAAAGCCATAAAATAAACAAATAACCCTCCACCCCCTGGGATCTCGTGATGTCGAGGTCCTTTGCGGGGCTCCGCATTTGCCTACTTGCATGTGCCTTTCATGCACACCTACATACCTACGTAGTCCCCCTAACCTATAGGCTCTCAACCACAGACCCTCCCCCGTTTCCCCTCCCCGAGGAATCGTATTGCTATACCGAAGCTATCACAAGGTAGACAGCCCTGCCCACCTGCCCACCTGCCTAGCTGCGGTATGTCGCCGCCAGCAGGGAACGGGGACGAAGGATTCAGACAAGAAAAAAAAATCGCGGTGTGAGACAGCAGCTCCTTCGGAGATTTCTTTCCTCTTTCATAGGTACGCGGGATCGCGGGTTAGCGGCAGGCCCTGCCAGGAACCCACCCCCGTCCGTCGCCCGTCCTCGAATGGGGCCCCTGGCTTTGCCGGCATTCAGCTTGGCAGTTGGCCACATACATACACGAATGTAAGTTTCTAACCTACATATTACATTAGTAAACTCGTAGGTGTCCATAAAATGTCTAGCACGGATATGCTCGTGATGAGCTAGGAAGGAAAAGGAAGTAGGGGTGCGGAGACAAACTATACATTAGTTTTATAGCTGATGAGGCGACGGGTAACAGGTATTGGTAGTCAAAATATCACTCGAATTTTATCATCTATATATTTTGATACGAGCGTTTGAAAGAGAGACATCATTTAATAGTTAGTATAGAAGTGCTAAAATTGAAAGTTAGACATTTCCCATTCGTGTCCTCGAAATTTACGTTTTGGCTCCCACGTAGAAATAACGATATGGTATAAGTTATTATTATCATCTAAACACGCTAGACTTATGTCCAATAGACACAGCTAAAACAACTACCCCGTAAACGAGCGAGAACTAACATCGCTACATTAAGCATTCTTGCCCAGACATCTCCAGTGAACGTAATCCGCGAGGGGATATACCATATTTATCACCCAGCTATATAAAAGAACCGCATTGGCAAGCTATCCGCCTCGTAAGAGAATGACACACGAGTCGTATCGAATAAAATCTTAATTGCGTCGAGCTGTTGCGGGCCGAGACAGGATTCTACAACGCAAGGAATATACCGAACGTACTTCAGGCTAGGCAACAACCCGCTGCGAAGCTCGGAAGCGAACGTAGTAGTAAAAGCCATCATGAGATCCTCTTTCCAGGTGAGGCCACTTTCTAGACTCCGCCACATCTCGACCACGTCAAGCGAGATGAGGTTCGGTGGAAGTTTTTCAAGTATCCAGATATCACGTGTATTGGCTTGGGTTCCAGTTATAAGCGGTATTTCAGTCATTAGTGTTTCAAGCTTCTCGAGTTGAGGCAAACAGTCAAGAACCTGAGCGGATCCAAGCTGGGCTAGAAACCAAGTATTTTGGCAGATCCTTAACTCCAACACCTTTAAAGTACCGGCTAGAATTACCAGTGCGTGGTTGAGATCTCTGCCTGTCGGCGGCGGAGGACGGTGTAAATCACGAGACTTCACCACGATCAACGAGAAACTCTCCAGATTGAAAGCAGACTCGAAGATACGAAATAGTGTTTCGGCATCGACTACAAGACCTGCAGTGAGTGGTGATTCTTCCGATATATACTAGAGATTGGTCGAGCGACGGGCTTGGGCTGGTACTTACCACAGGCTATTAACTTCAGCTCCCTTAATCTCCCAATCCACGAGTCGTCACGACCTTCTGGGAAGGCAAGATATCCGTAGTGACGCCAGATATGGAGTCGATGGACCGTTCCTATTTCAAGAAGCTCTGTTGCTATTTCCATGCTGGATCTAGAGAATGTTCTAGAAAACTCGAGCTGTTGAATATACAGTGTCCGTAGCTGAGGAATGATGCTGTATCTGCTTTGCATCTTTGCTTGGCGTAGGTAATAATCTAGTGTCTGATAACGACTACTTTCGGTCCAGCGTAGGAGTAGTCTAAGGTTGTAAGATAGACAGATAAGAGCCATTAAGAACCTCAGGGTCAAGGTAGATAACTAGGCAATCCGTAGACTATGTCGATCTAAACGAGCCGAACGTAATATAAATACTTGGCGGTCTGAGAGGTCATCCTCGGATGGCAAGCTGTAAAAGAGGGCACGTATATTGCTACAGTCCCTAAAATTAGTATCTGTTTCTACAACTTATCAGGGTAATTAGACAAGCATCATAACCCCTTCAAAACCGACAACTTGACCGATACATATAAAGAACCTCAGGGCAAAACAGGAAAAGTGAAAACAAGTCTAAATGCTACTCACCTGGTAACATGGTCTTGTGAATTTTCTGCGATCAACCAGTCATGAGGCTTCAAACTCCCCGGGCAAAGTATATTTTTGATATATTTACAGTATTCGTCCTTCCAAAGCAGAGTTCGCACTAGGATTATTAAATTCCTTAGGCCGCCATAGGCGAGGGCGCGAAGGTGATCTTCATGGTCCCGAGAGTCGAGGACAAAGATGACCGTCTGATAAAGGAGCGGCTTCGCAAGGTCGTTGAAGACACTGGAGGTAAGACAGAGATTATAGAGGACTTTGCGGTTTACTAGGAACTCAGGCGCGGGTAGTGTGGAGGCTACGTCTTGGACTGGAAGTCGAAAACACTCAACGATACATAATAAAAGCTCGGTAGGTAGTGAATGGCTAAGACGAGGCTGTTGAAATTGGCCGCATGGTTCATCAACAGTATCGTTATCTCTTTCCTTTGGGGACTGAACGACGGGAGTTTGTGTCGGATTCCCCCCCATCACTACTACTATTGGAGCGTATGATATAATAAATAATACCTGACTCTGCGAATAGAGATAGGATGGATGGTCTCGCGACTTGCTTTGACCGGTTCAGGGCATAGTTAAAGAAATTAGGAAAAGATGGCGAATGAAGATAAAAAGGCTGCTGGATCTTCCTGTCTAAAACCGGCTCTTGAGGTGCCACATAGGGCTCTTTCCTAATACTTAACTTTACTCTCGATTTTTTCCGGTAAGAAGGGGCTATTAGTCGATATTACGATGGCAAGCACTAAGCTGTTCCTTCAAAAGAACCTAGGTACCTATGTAAAGAACCTAGATGGATAAGACATAACTAGGTGCATGAACTGACAATGCGAACTTGTATATGGAAAGCCCATATTAAAATAAATATCGCTAATCTCAATGCTGATTTCGCTATACTGCAGTTGACGAAGCGGAAACCTGGTCAAAGCGGTAGGGAGAGCGATATAATGATGCCGTTATGGAATACCGCGGTCTCGTAGAGAAATACTGATGTATGGTGGATAGTCATACTGATCTCTCGTAGCGTCTCCCTGAGTATCGAGACAGTTAATTGCGATGAGAGAGAAAGCGGCCTGGGATATTGAAAGGACTAATTGTTAGGCCACCCTCAAGCACATATTTTAGGTTAGACTATCAGCTTTCCGCCATAGGAATAGCCTTCTAAGTCCGCTGCTGAACCTGGAACCCGTGTGCTTGATAGTATGGTCCACCGACATTTTACGAGTTACTTGTAGAGAAGTAGGAGGAATGGAGGTAGCTGGCTGCTCATTGTTCGGCAAAGGCGTCTGACTCTGTTTGGTCACGCTTTTCTCAACTCTTCGACGTCTCGGCCCCCGTTCTGTGACCCGGCGTGATACTAACAATTCCGGGAAACGGAATTCAAATCCATCCTCGATAAATCCTTGAGATGATTGGCTCTCGCTACTATTAGCTTTAACCCTTTCATCTTTCGCTTCTTGGTTCTCAGTGAATCCGATACCGATACGCTCTTCATCACCACAGACCACGACATACCACCGGATACTCTCTTTTCTTTGTAGTTGATCGCGAAGTTTCTCAAACCAACCTGCTTTCTTGTTGCCGTACGTATTTACCTTATGGCAGTTTTCCTCACTCATACCGCTCATGGGCTTGTAAGGTTCCGTCTTCATCCGCGTCTCATATCGACTTATCTCTTCTGCAACCGAAATTGAAGTGTCTATGCGTACCACATAATCTGCCACATATGCCCATTGTCCGCTTACGGTGGTCAAATCTGACGGATCAAATTCTTCCAAAAATTTCACTATAGACCAATCATTGAACGGTATGTCGTCGTCGTTAAGATCTGGTGGTTCCGACGCTGGGAATAAAGTTAACTTGTCGCGTTGCTTGGTCGTCGGTAGCTGCTCCGAGGCTTTGCTGCGACTAGACAGTTTGCTCTGTCGGCTGCCATTTCTGTTCTCGCTATTTTCAAATTGGACAATCTCCTCCTTGTACCCTTGACCGCTGTATGAACGCGTGCGTGAATAAGCATGCCCGTTTATGGCTGGGGAGTCATTGCGAATGTGATGATGATGGGGTGAGGGGCTCAGATTTCGTGCCAGACGGGGACAAGGAGGTAGGAAGTCGAATAGCTCGTAGAATTGGTTAAGGAGGGCGACGGGACTCTGCCGCGCTATGATCCATTCCGACGCGACGTCATCAACGTTCTGGATAACGACAAAATATCGTATGCTTGGGCGATGCCAGCGAAACCCGTGGCATAAGTACGTCGGCATCATGTGCTTGCTTGTAAGTCTCCTAGCTAGTGTGGATCGAGTAGCAGGGCATTACAGTAGTGCGCCCTGTACGTGCAAAAGGCGGAGGGTAGCCACCCGGAATCCTGGTCTGTGGGGGAAGAGACAGGGGGGTCCCTGAATTATGTAGGAGAGCGCGAATGTGAATGGTCAAACGGCTTTTTCTTCACTGCTCAACCACGTCTAACGAGATCGTCATATCAAGCACAACAAGCCAGAATGATGTTGTCTTTAAACCTACAATCATCAGACCCCTTTGGGAAAGGAGAAATACAAAATGCTCGGTCTAATATTTAGCGAACAAAAGTTAGCAAGCCTACATAATACTCGAACAATTAGACGCAAGGCCGTCACAACTGGATAATAGCCTGTCAGATCGGATCGCCGCTAACCTAACTTAGGAGTTCAGGGTAAAAGCCGAAAGGTGTTGTAGAGTCTTTACTCACGTTATATATTAATAGGTAATTTATGTGGCCCCAAAATATCAAGGAGATATCGGCTGTTAGCATTTGCAGAACTGGCAAGGCCGGGGTGAAAAAGCCTCATACAGGTAGGTAATCATATGTCATTTCCCAACTCAAGTTGCATTCGTTGCATACAAGCATGCAGTTCAAGTTCCGCAAGAGTCATTCGGCCTTACAATAGGAAGTTCGATTATGGGTCCGTCATGTCGCGAGTCGACAATCTAGGTACCTACCTACCTAGGTAATCCATATGGCATCAGACCCTTTCTCTTTGAGCCTCATCCGCCTCAACGTCATAGCAAAATCCTTGATACAGTCTTATATAGAAGTACTTTCTGATTGGTATTTTCCTTATTTAAATATTCGTCATTAAGTTTACGTGTAGGTCTATTGCGTATATTTAGTCTTACCAGGTAGCTAGATGACTCCCCGTCGAGAGAGCGAAGTCTGGCGTAGCTCGTATTTATCTACCTCCCGAGAACCAAGGTAATGAGAGCTTCAACCCCATTTACTTGTTTGAGCTCTTGTCCAGCCAATTTAATGTTACAACATTGTTTCTAACATGTGTTCAACTACTCAGTGCCTCAGGCTATGTTCATAGATGTAGTTGTACTAGACCAGGTCTCAATATATATTGGCCTTGATAACATCCTTAAAGAGGGGACTCGAACCTACGTGACTCTTATTCTTTAGGTACCACCTGATTTATGCTACTTGGCAATAGTCCTCTAACCTAGTTAGTAACAAGTTATTAGAAGTTACATATAGAATCACTACGTACCTAAATTTCATTCCAAGTCATTAATGCCGAGCCCGTTCGAAGATATATTCTTTTAAAGCGTAGGAAAGCCCTTAGCTAACATATATATACTTAAAATAAACGAACTGCTTTATTAACACGTCTTGGCTTCCTCTATCTCTTTGGCATATTATTAACAAGCGAACCCCGGTTTTAATCGACTCTTGGAGAGTTGCCTTGGTATCTATCTGATCAGTTTTCGTGTGCACGTCTTACGAAATGACACTAATAATGAAGAATAGCCAATGATATTAAAGGAAACTTCCCGATTTGGCCTTGTTAGACCAACAAGGTCAACAATTTACTAGCCTCGTTGATGCAGTTGTAGTTGATCACCAATCATATTGACTACCTACCTAGGGTTAGTGCAATGGATTGGAACTTTACATGTATAATCCAACCACGCAACTTGGCAATCCTTGGTACTAGACATCATAGTACTTTATAATCACGATATATAATCGTGAAGATATAATCAAATTAGCTTGACCGCGTCATAATACCGTCTAAGATTTAACTACGTAGATATCCCCCGTTGGCATGCTTGCATATATGCCTACATGACCCAAAGTATAATAAGTCATAGTGTATAGCTTATTTGTCAGTCAGCACTGTACCTTGACAACCTCCTTTAGTCACAGTGTATGATACACAGGGGGCTTTCGCACATTCGCTGCAATGGGAAGCTGCGCCGGGCCTACGGAGGAGAGACTTTGAGGACCGGCGCGCCATCCTAAATAGTTAAGTGTAAGAGTCGGGCCCCACAGAAGCCGTCAAACTATCCCCTTAACTGGCATAAGACTACAACCCCCCCTATAATCGGTATTGTACAAAGTCAGCCTATAACATACGCGTAATAGATCCATTTTTATTTAAACCCAAAACCTCTAATTGGCCAGAGGCCTTTTATAATCGATGATACGAAAAGATATAAAGTTAATTCCTTAAAATCTTACCTTTTTTTCAATATTATTTTTTTTAAAATAGCCTTAAATTGTTATATGTTAACAATTTTATTTTTAACTTATTTTTAACGTATTATTATTGTTTTTAATGTTTTTTAATAGCTAAATAACCTTATAATATCTTAATATTAATAATATTACTGTTTAATTTAACTTAATTATTATATAAAGTAATAAAATAAACTTTATAATTAAATAATTAAAAGTTTATATTAATTTTAATATAAGTACGTATACATTTTAAGCCTTAAATAGTTAAGTTATTTAATAACTTTATTTAAAAACTTATTTAATTATTAAAAGATTAAATAAATATATTATTAAAAATAAGATTAAAAAAATACAAATTCGATATTAAAGCTTGTTAAAAAAGCTTAAAAATAACGTTAAAAAGTAATAACATTGTTAACATATTAAGCCTATAAAAGCAATATTATTTAGGGACGATTTCGTTAAAAATAACATCGCTTTGTTAAGAACGATTTTATTGAAAATTAATTGATTTAAATGAAAAGGTTTTAAATAGTTTTATTTATAAATTAAATAGCTATTTATAACTCAAAAAAATGCTGGTACAATTGGTATAAGCTAAATTAGGTGTAAAATTAAGTAGTTTGATTTCATTGGTCGATAGCTTTAAAATTAGATTATCTCGTAGTATTGTATTAAAAATAGTGGAGGTGTAGTTTTATGCCAGTTAAGGGGATAGAGAAAATCCAACGTTATGGTGTAATAGACATGGATTCATTACCCCTCAGCCATCCAACCCCTCATCGCGAACTCAATTGCTAAAACTGCCGGTGGAGAAGCTTCAAAGTAAAATTCAACGCCTTCTCTGGTATATAATTGAACCCCTTCGCCTCTTTGGATGTGTCCCTCAGATTCTTCTCTCCTGAATATTTAGAAATAACCTACCAATTCCTTGTTAACTATGGCGACGAAAACACCCACCGTAAAACTAGCCTCTGGCTATGTACGTGACCCCCATCTGCTTCTGTGGGCCGAGGCTAATAGGAATAGGAAATGCCCCTGGTTGGCTTTGGTATTTGGAAGGTGCCGAACGATACCTGCGCTGATCAAGGTATGTCTCCTGTAGCCTTTCAACAAATATTCCATATGTAGGTAGGCTCATCGGTCGCTGACACTTGACTCGCTACTCGATAGTCTATAATGCTATCAAGTTAGGCTATAGACACATTGATGGCGCTTGGGACTACACGAACAGCGCCGAGGCCGGTAAGGGTGTACGGAGGGCTATCGAAGAGGGCATCGTGAAGCGAGAAGACATATTCATTACCTCCAAGTTATGGAACAATTACCACGCTCGCGAACATGCGTTCGAGATGGCTAAGCTGGAGAACGAGGCGTGGGGTCTGGGATACTTGGACCTATTCTTGATCCACTTCCCCATTGCGCTAGAGTTTATCCCCTTCGACAAGATCCGCTTTCCCTGCTTCTGGTCTGATAAGGAGCAGACTAAGGTTACTCCGCTGGCAAAGGTACCAATCTCAGAGACCTGGAAGGCTCTAGAGGATATGGTTCAGACTAAGGAGAACCCAAATGGCTTCGTCAGGAGTATCGGTATATCAAACTTCCAGCCCCAACTAATCTACGACCTGCTGTCGTATGCGAAGATCCACCCGAGTGTCTTGCAGATCGAGCACCACCCGTACCTAACGCAGCCCGGCCTTATCGCCCTAGCGCAAGAAAACAACATTGCCGTAACTGGTTACTCGACATTTGGCCCGCAGAGCTTCATCGAGTTGGGCAATGCTACGGCCAAGGAAATTAAGCCTCTATTCGAGACGGATGTGGTGAAGAGCGTCGCGGCGAAGCATGGCAAGTCTCCCGGACAGGTTCTGCTTCGATGGTGTACTCAGCGCAACATCATCGTCATCCCCAAGTCGAATAGCGTCGAGCGACTGAAGCAGAACCTCGAGTGCTGCTCCTTCGACCTAAGTGAGGATGAGATTAAGCAAATCTCTTCTCTGAACATTGACCTGCGATTCATCAACCCTGCTGCTCTAGGAAGTAGTAGAATCTTCGGTTAAAGGTGGTATAATACTAGGGGATATTTATTCATTAGATGGTTTAGAAACATTAAAATAATAGATTGCCTAGGTTAATTCCTTGTTCTTTGCGGGGACGTTAAATAATACATGTGCGTCATGACGAAAATATACATAAGGTATGTAGCTTCTGTAGGTATGTACCTAATGAATTGAAAGAACCTTCCACCAACGCGCCAACGCGAGAACAAAAAAAGAAAACGCCACAGCTCTGCACCGCCATACGGATCGGTACAGCCACAACCATGTCCAATTATGGAACCTATTAATCAAGTGCCTGAATGCGCGTCACTTTTCATATCGTTGTCGCGTCTCTTTTGTGGCCTCGCTTCACAGTGAAGTCTCACCAATTCCTTTAATTAAGCAATAAATAATATGGCCCTCCCGCTACCACCTGGCCTTGTGCCAACCGAAGTAGCTTTCCTCTGCGAGATGGAAATGGTTACGGTTGTTCCTCGCCAAAGACTCGAGTCAATTCCGTTACTTGGTGTAAATAATCCAAATATTTCAAATAATTTAACCCCACCACCCCGCCATCGCCATCGCCATCTCCATCGTTATCGCCATCATCAAGTAGCTCTACTAATAACATGATTCCATTATATAGGGCAAAACTCCAGCTTTACGCCCACCCCATCGCGCACAGCTTCCCCTGTGGCTTGCGATTTTACTTAAGAAGCAACGGCGCGCGAATATCGTCGCACCGCCTTGGCTATATCCAGATTCGCTCAAGGATATCATCAATCACGAGACCAACATCGATCCTGTAGCATTCTCCCCACCTCCACCACCGCCTATGAGGTCCGACGGCAGGGGTGGCGCGAAGCCATACGCGCAATCTTCGTTTGAGCTGAAGCCGGGGGAGATGTTACTGTCACCACCCTTTCTCCCCTCGTGTACACAAGAGGCGCCTTCAGGCTACCTGCCCTACCACTGGCTGGAGCTTTCGGAGACTCTACTCGCACACGCCGCTGACGATATACCCAGCGCCGCTGAGGTTCGAACGTTACTGCGGGATCTACAAGAGGTGCGTGCGGCGAAAATGCGCAGTAGTACGGTACATCTAGAAGGCGGCGGCGGTGTACTTAAGTTGCGAGGTGTCGGAGCAATGGAACTAGCTGAAAGCAGGGGCTTTGTGTTAGGAGTCGTCGAGGGTGTGCGGAAGCTAGGCGCGAGTGCCGAGGCGAGTAGGAGGGAAGAGGAAGAAGAAAGGGCTAACGGCGAAGGAGCCGAGGACAGCGACGAGGAGATGGGCTTCTAGACACGAAATAAACGACGCATATGAGACATGGTACAGCATTGCATACGGCTCCAAAATTACGGCATATCGCATAGCATCGGACCGGCGTTTAATATCTTCATCAAACCGAGAAACATTTTGAAATCTATTTACATATACCTAGCCTATATACCCCCATTCCTACCTTTTCCCAAGCAAGATGCCAACGTTTCATACATTAAGCTAGACCAACGAATCAATCAAAAATATAATTTGGTATTCTTACAATATTGCCATCCGCCATATGCCTCCATCGCAACTTATCCCCCAGTCGTTCCGCGTTATGGAAATATTGGTTCATACGATTCTCCGCGGCCCAGTTCAGCGGGTCTGGTTGTGGTATCGCGTCAGAATCGACCGTTGTCTCCATTAACGAATATAGACACAGCAACCAAAAGCCTACCTGCAGGGCGATCATCAGTATGTCTGCTACGGCGTGCATGACTCGGTATAGTTCACTGTCCACCGTGCGTAGACAAAAGAGGAGAACGGAGAGCGCATGCTGGCGTATAGCCGCGGATAGCTCTACGATGTAATTGTACGTGATGCGATGTGCCAGCTTAGCTAGCACAGAAAAGACCACTCGCAAGATATCCGCGATTCGCTGTGAGAATATCACGATCGGTTCGGATTTATAATCTACGAATTCTAGCAGGAGCTGGAGGTACGTCGTTACGATGAGGTGGAGGCCAGCATAAATGCGCCTGTAGAACGGCAAATAGTTCCGTTCCCATATTGGCGGGAGCCACTCCATAAAGAGCCCTCGGATGTTTATCCGTAAACGCATGATGGTAGATTCGGACGTGCGCTGAAGCGTGTCGGCTCTGATATCGCGGGATTCGTCGAGGTTGTTCCTTAGAAGTCCAGCTAAGGAATAAACAGATTGCTTCTTAGTGATAGAGAAAGACGTATGCCTGTTGAGAAGCCAGAAGTAGAGACCTTAGAGATGATAGAGTACAGCACAGCTAAAGTGTCAGAAAAGCAATGGAAGAGTAAACATGGCTGCGAGAAATTTATTCGAAGCTCTTGGTATTGAATAGAATTGAGTTCTAAGGAGTTTCGACTCTGACGTCGAAATCCCTTTGGTTACTTGTCCGTTTTGTTTATGTTAATTCATTATTTCGCCGTCGGGGTTACAAGGTCAAGATCCAACTCCCGTGTATCACGATTGTTTGCTTCCTTGGTGCTTATTTTCCTTGTACAAGGAGCCTTTGACACCTTTTGTTTGGCTAGGTGATAATAGCATTGCCGCTTGTTCCCTTTGGGTTTCACCTTGTCATGAGCTGAGTCGCCTTTGCATAGAACAAGAGGCTCCTCTATTATTTGATTTACAAAGTAAATAGAGATTATGTCTGTCAAAGTATCACACATAATCAGCTGCTGATAATTGATGATGCACTGCTCTGAAGCGACATTAGTTGAAAGATTGTGCTTGCGTGTAATAGTACCCCTATATTTGTAACATTAGGTATACATTGAAATATTGTTAACCACGCTCTACTTATTGAGTAGCAAGGTTTACCATAACTGGATAGGTTCAATATGCTATATAAATGCTAATGAAGAACCTTTGGTAATATTAAATACCATAAACTCACACCACCATCAATTCCGAATATCATATATCGACAGACGATGCGCATCACTCAACTTTAGCCCGATACTTATATACAGATTCCTGCTATTACTCAATTGAACAGGCTATGTGTATCACTCGTTTGCATGCGCGTCATTGTAGTAATGGATCTATGGCTTTGTTAGTACGCTAATTTCCGTATTACAGAGGGGACGAATTAAGATGCCGAGAGAACAAAGAAATCTCTTACAGTCTGATCTGAGCATCCACTAGGGGTTTGATAGCCGTAGGCGCCGGTGTTGATAAATAGCGCCTGGTCTTTACAGACAAGCCAGGCAGCCAGGTTCTGACGGTTGATGTCCGGCACGCTCCAAGTAAGAGCGTCTCCTTGGAAGACAAAGGTGCCAAATGTATTCTCGGTCGTGTTGAACGAGGTGGCGAGCGTTCGCGGCGGGTTTGCTAGGTCTGCTGGCTTCTCGACATGTAAATACAGCGGCGCCCCTCCTTCGCCCGTATTAGCCACCAGCTGCCCATCCTTGACATTGTACTGCCCTGCCGTCTTGTAGCTCTCTAGTACGGCCGTGCCTGGCGCATTGGCTGGCTTTGTCTGGAGGTATTTATGGAAATTGGGCGAGGCCACCGCGCGAACCCAGTACCATCCTGACTGTAGTGTCGTGCCAGGTCCTGATGACTGCCGCGGAGCTACGGGACTAGCCGAGGCGACTGTGGTAAGGAGTGCAACTGCAAAAGGTTGGAACAGCATCATGCGTAATGCTGCCTTTGAGATATTGTGAATGACCGTTTGCTAGAAAGCACTTTTGATAATAGATACGGGTACGATGTTGGAAGAGGTGCGATAACTAGAAGACAAGGATGTGAAGTTACATTACCAAAGTGCTGGAGGTAGGTAGTATTTATTCTGGCAATGATTATCCCGTCTTAGGTTCATCAGGAATATATTCAAGTCTTCCGGTGGATTAGCTTGTCTAATGTGCAATATAGCTTCCGTGTTACTGCGTCGGGTACGGAAAGAGGTGGGTGAGTAAGTGAACTCGTGGTCGCGAAATGATTTAGCCTAAGCTCAAGATCGGCAAATATACCATACGTAGAAAGCCCCCGTGGAGGAAGATCTAGACTAGCTTACATTGAAATACCTGGATGATGCCATATCGCTAGCTTATTTTTAGCTAAGGCTCTCAATGTTGTGCTTGTGGTCTGGCGAGGAAGAGGGAAATAAAGATACGGTGTGCTGGAAGTCATATTAGAGATGATTGAAGTAAAGTCGGGAGCCGCTATGTTTAAATTATAAATAGAGGAAGATGGGACACTCATACGGTCGAAAAAGAAAAGAAAAACAGGCTACTCCTTTGACTACAAGTCAAGGCAACACGATATTGCGTTGGGTAGGTACCTATCTAGTTATGCAATTTATCATTGGGGGCTCCTCATAACGGACTCCGGGTAACACCACATCCTTTACCCATATATCTTCGAGGCTGTGGTAGAAGCATTTTGACTCACAAGAGCAGGTAACCTGGTTGTGGTTATCAGTTTAGCTCACCGTCCCTCGCTTCTCCCAAGATACACGTTTGCAGCTCCCTCGATGTCAAGTCTTGTAGAACTAAGGACTCAATGATGCGGCTCTTTTGGCGGGCCCACCAAGATGTCGAGCTGGTAAGCAAAATACGTGCGGCTTGATAGAAGTAGTGGTGTATGACCAGGGCCCTGGAGTCGTGCTGGAGAGCAAGCTCACGGAAGACTACGCTACAAAGAACAGGGAAGGTAAAGAAACAACGTTCAATGTCAGGCTGAAGGCGCATTAGCCTCTGGGATGGCAGGTGCTCGCTATAGTTAGATTGATGTCTCTTCAAAAATGATAGAATAGCTCTAAATGTAGTAAATTGACCTTGGCGTCATCTAAAATAGGATGACTAGTAGGTTGAGAAATGCATGAATTCAACCTGTTGTTGCCTTTGTGTATATCGGCTGTTGAGTAGATGCATCTTTCACTCCTCTTTAAACAGTTCGAACCGGGGAACTGCTCATCACACTGCAGAATCACATGTTAACCAACAAATGCATCGATCTATCTTGGTATGCATATCGTCTTATTTAAGTAGACGGATATTAACCAGTGTACTACCTAACTGACCTTAACTCTTCGACGTTTGCAAGCAAGACATCCATGGCGGCTCTTGTAATGCGGTCGCTTTTTCCCCCTCTGATTTGACGGGAGCTGGTCTCTATTAGGGGTCTACCGTTTGTGATAAATATAAAACCTCTGCTATGGGCCGTCTGAGTTGCTTTTGCCTTATCTTCCATAATGTTTGGCGGTATAGAAAATAATATGAATATGGGTTTAGGAGGTACCTAACCTTTGGTATATATTTTGCTATTTGTGTACGGGCCACCATCGAGAGGGTAAAGAGGAAGAGTTGCTATAACACTGGAACTGCACGTACTCAAAAGACCATGACCAATAGGAAGAAAGTAGACCTTCTTGGTCGTTCCCTTTGAGGAAATAAACGAAGTCGAGTCCCACCAGGCGGTCCCACCCCGTGCCGTTCCGTACGGTGTACCACCTCGTTCCCCTTCGAGAAGTTAACGAAGGTATGAAGACTGTTCCATAAATGTTATGTACCTAAGGTGCCTAATGTAGGATAGCTTTTGTAATATTATTCTTTAGTGGTATTGATGTCCTAGTAGAATTTTACACTGTCTGTAAGGTACCCGTTTCTATAAATATAGCCGTGTACCCTCTTCCTTCGAGAAGACATAAGCCCTCAGTACCTCTCCTTTTACTAGACAGTAGACCGCATTTATCAAGCATGAAAACCACTTAATTGATCACCACGATGTCTCTATCTAACCTCATTACCCCCGTTCCGGGTATTCCTTACTTTACACCACAACATCTACACTCGCCCGTCACTCTAAAAGAGCTCTGCTCAAAGAAACTCACCTTATTCAGACCACTCCAAATTCACGGGGTCATTCTTCGCGATCGTGTTGTGGTTTCACCCATGTGCCAATACTCCGCGGCACCATCTGGACTTGAAATCGGCTCTCTAACGGATTGGCATGTTGTAACACTCGGCCATTATGCTATCAAAGGAGCAGCTCTCGTTTTCGTTAAAGCTACAAGCGTTCAACCTAATGGGAGGATAACTTTAGGTGTCCTACTATATCTACCTAGGTAGGTACCTAACCTTATGGCATAGGATTACCAGGGGAAAGCATAGGATATCACTCTAATGTAGTTGACTCTACAGGTTGCGTCAATAGTTATAGGTAGGCAGGAGTAAGTATATTGCCAGGGGTCGCCTGGTAAACTACCTACCTATCTGTTCCCGCCCATTATGGCCTCCCACTGCAATACCCTTGGCAATCCAGGAATATTCTGGTGCCCCTCGCGATTCACAGACTAACAGCCTCAAAGCTTAAGAGACGACTTGTTGTTCTGACCTTGATCCTCCTGATTGTGATTCCCCTTAGTGGACCGGCTTGGGAGCTGGCTTGGGATTCGGATGTGGCCTCGGGTTTGGATTTGGTGGCCTTGGATTGGGCATGCGAGGCTCAGCGTTACGATTGCCCCTGAATCTACCCATGATGTCGGTATTAGTCATGGTACCGGTGTTGGTCATGATGCCGGTGCTGTTCAAGATGAAGAGCGGTCCAGTTTTGGATGCGAAAAGTTTCGTCGTTCTGGGAGTGCTCGAACTCGAAATTGAGGTAGGTGATAGAGTTAGGTTTTGGAATGAAGGGGTTAGGCCAAGGTGAGGGTGAGGTTGATTTTATATATTGTATTGGGGCATACAGTCTAGGTAGGTTAGGTACTCATTCATATACTGGGAAGTCAAACTCTCTGATGTGTTCTGCGTCACATCTTTTGCCATAGGGTCAAGATGATATATAAGTGATTCGTCTAAATAAGATCCTTGATGTGAATCACCGGGGCCACTTGTAAAGGCTATCGTAAAGGACAGGTAGCCAAGTGGATGGTACAAAGTCGAATCTCTGAGTGGCTATTTTTCAGCAAGTGATGTGTATGATTTTGGATTGGCCTTCGTGGTTATTGTAACGTCTTTCAGCTGTCATGATTCATGTTAATATTGTAAGGTGTTGTGTCGAGTCTATGCGTGGATGTGACTAGTGGTGATAGCAAATTCGTTAACATTCAATGGACGTGTGAAAACTATCTAGATGCCCGGGTATCTACTTAAATTTTTAGTTATTTTTATCTAGCGTATGACTATAGTGTGTACGATGACTTGAGGACCAAGGTAAAGCCAGTATCTCGCCAAATTTGAGAATGCATGTGACTGGTATAATATACTTCATTATCTTCGTCGTTTAGAAATATTCTATCATTATGTCAAGTAGCATTACAAGGAGTTAATTTATGGGTTAATACACTATTATACTAATAACTAAACCTCTGCCTCTCACTCTGTGATATACGATATCCGATATCCTAACTGATAACCACAGTAGCATTTCTATCCAGTTTATCTTAAAACCAGCTCCTGATTATCGAAACCGCCAAACCAGCAGTTACATGAACAATCATAGGCGCTCACTTTACCCCTCTGCCTCTTTTCTCACGTTGAAACATAGTAATACGTTAAAGAAGGGGGGGGGGGGGGGGTTACAGAACATTTTCAATAAATCTGACTCCACAGGTTACACCAATAGGTATGTAAAGGTGAATATATTCTCAGATATAGTCAGGTAAACTATCTATTTGGTCCTGTCCATAACGCTCTCCCGCTTCGATTCACTGGGTACTTCGAGAATCTCCTATGACTATGCGGCGCGGTGTCTAGTATGATCCAAAGACCAATAGCAACAAAGATTGAGAGGCAACTTGATGCTATTTTTGTGGCTCATGCGTCGTGCAATACACATCGTATTTCCGAGACGGCATTGACATGCATGTTTTCCAGTCGGCGCACGTAATAACATACTCCGGCCCCCAAACATGAACTCTGCATCTTTTGCAGTAATGATCTACTAAGGTGCACATGATGATAAAGCCTTTGGATGTGGGCTATTTGTCGAGGCAGAAATGAACTATCGTATCGTTCTTGTGATGTTTAATTTGTTGTGGTAGGTGCCAGGTAGGATTGGGTTTTGGTGTCGAGGAGTAAGCCTAACATACTGGGGAGATCGAATTTATATATTTCCCCAGAGAACAGAGGTTGGATTGTGAATATAATGGGTGACTTATAATGTGATTTGTATTGCATCTTATTATTTGTTTGTTATAAAGATAATGTAATATATAATGAATTCACTAGGTTTAGATCTTAATGGATGTAACCTAGGTAGTTTAACGAACATTTTCCATTACGGTAATAACCGCTCATGAGATGAAATGAGAATCAAGTAAGGGTTAGGAGTGCCAAAGAAAAGCTATACTCTCAGTATTCATATACTTACTAGAACCCCATGTAAGTAAGTACTCGATTTAAATTAATAATATCATAGAGTAAGTCTCCAATTAATTTATAATGGTGTCGAGCTGAAATAGATTACTAGAGTACCCTTTAAACCAAGCATACCTAGATGTGAAGACTTCAGCTATTATATTGAGAAACCACTTTGCCCATAGGTAAAATAAGCTATTTGTGGTAATAAAATTTGTAACGGGGCTAAAATATACAAACCGCCATGAAGCCGCCTCGTCCAAGCTCGAAGTAGAGGTTAGCAAAGGACTACAAAAAAGGGGGGGGCCAGATGTCTAAGCCTCTAATTCGCGTACCGGGAATGCACCGTCACTGACACTGATGTCATCAATACATACATTGACTCGACTCCTTTATGTCTCAATATTTGAAGCTTCAACTGATGATAACCGTAACAGTAAAATTTGGTATATAATCATTTGGTGTATCTGATGAATGCAAACGTCAGTTACGTCAATATATCAAGGGCACTTGAGACATTTCTTGCCCGAGGGTGCGCAAGTACTGCTAAACAGATAGCTGGCCGGTTTACTAGTCACTATCTCTTTAGAACATATCGACCTACTGGGTCCAAAGCACCGATTACAATTCAGATGAAGCGCAGTGCGTCAACAGTATCAAAAGCCACACCAAGAGCTAAGAAATTTCGACCGGAAGTGCCCGAGTATCATCTAACCCCTTCGGTACGAGACGAAGAATCGGGCGAAATCGTATGGCCGGCTCCTAGGGCGCAGATCGAGCGCGCTCGAGATTTTATTCTAGAGTGGCATGTTCTGTGATCTATATCATTTCCACCTCTTAAACTAATAGTTATAATATAGCGCTTCCGCAAAAAAGAAGACCCTGGTTATACCCGATAAAGATGCAGATGGGTTAACATCAGGAGCTATTTTGCAGAAGACTCTCGTCTTACTTGGTCTAGAGCCTCATCTCATATCGGTCCATCTGCTTCAAAAAGGCAACAATATCCATAACGAGAATGAGCGTGCCTCTATGGCTGCTTATAGTCCCGAATACATATTTGTTTTGGATCAAGGATCGAGGAATTCGCCTCCGGTAATAGACGCCCCTCATAAAGCTTTAATCATAGACCATCACTGGGCATTGGAGGACGATTTCCCCGAGGGCTCAGAGCATGTTACAGCGTGCAACTCTCCGCCAGTCGCTACGAGCTCACTCCTTACCTACTACATTTGCAATGAGTTGCATGAGCAAGTGCAGAAAAAATGCGATTGGTTATGCGTAATGGGTACTCATGGTGACTTAGGCAATACGCTGAAGTGGGAGCCGCCTTTTCCAGATATGAAGGCTACCTTCAAGGCCTATACCAAAAAGGCACTGAACGATGCAGTGTCACTTATCAACGCTCCCCGTCGAACAGCAACCTATGGCGTTCCCGCCGCCTGGGATGCTCTAACAGCTGCCAGCTCGCCCGCGAAACTTCTTAAGAACCAGAGTCTCCTTGCCGCCAGAGCTGAAGTGAACGCCGAGGTAAAACGGTGCACCCACACGGCCCCGAAGTTTTCGAGTGATGCCAAGATTGCTGTTTTCCGCATCAACTCTGCCGCGCAAGTTCATCCAGTGATAGCAACGCGCTGGGCGGGGTGCCTACAGTCGCCAAAGTTGGAGGTGATCCTAGTAGCTAACGAAGGCTATCTCCCGGATATGGTCAACTTCTCGTGCCGGGTTCCTCGGAGCGCGAGGGCAAGGGACCCGCCTGTAAACATTATCAAAGTACTGAAGGAGATCGCTGCGAGGGCGCCAAATCCGACCTTACGCGAAAGACTTGGAGAGTCGTTTGCGAGGGGACACAAAGAAGCTAGTGGAGGCATTGTTCCGAAGGCAGAGTTTGAAGAGTTCATGGACATCCTAGAAATCGGGAAGAAGCCCGGAGGAGGAAGTCCGAAGAAGGTTAAGAAGGCCGCTGCTCCGAAGCAATCAAATACCCTGAAAACCTACTTCAGCAAGCAAACCACTGCTTCAGTGCTTGGGTGAGACGGGATGCTAGCAGCAAGGAGATATTAAGATAGGGGCTGAGCAAATTTATGACTTTAAAATATGTAATTGGATTCTATCAATTAGTAACGAAGATTCATCTGTCGAAATATGATATCGGCGCAAGTCGTCGCGCTTACATTAGAGCGCACACCGCTCCCATAAGCTTTCCCACCCCACGCCTCTTCCTAGCAATTTAAGCCTTTGTCGACTCTCAACTCGTAGAGGTACAGCACGAATCGACTCACAGTTTTCCTACCGATTTGAGGCCACGCTCACCGTCGACGAGGACGCACCAGCCGCCGTGGCCGCTGCCGCCGTCCCCAGCGACCAAGGCGCCATCATAGCCACCCTCTTCCGCTCCCTCCTCGCCGCCGCGCGCATACTCGAGCACCGCATCGTCCCAAGTGCCCGGCTGAAGCCACACGGCGGGGATACCAAGCTTCTTGGCCTCCTTCAGCACGGTCAGGGTCACGGGTGCTGGCGTGATGACCGACAGCGAGGTGTGCTGCGGATCGGGCAGGTCGGCGAGAGACTTGACGGTCGGGTGCACGCCGAAAGGCGTCTCTATGCTGGCGCTCGCCGGGTTGATAGGCGTCACGGGGAGTGAGTGTGCATGGTACCAGGTGAAGACTTAAACGCGGGGGAGGACGTTAGCAACTTCTATGCTTTTATGTAGAATGAAGTCGTATTTATGTCGTATCTTATGTGCATACAACAGGCCACTTGAGCCTCCGGATGACGCGCACTTGTTACTTTGCGCTTGCAGCTGAGAGAGATCGGGGCGACCATTGATGAGATGAACGAATAGGGTAGCGGAGTGTTAACCAGGGGGGGTTTTTCTTACCCTTATGACCGAACTTGGCGGGGTTTGTGCTTGCGCCCACCACAGCGAATTGAGGGGAGTTGAAGAAAGTTCGGACGGTGGCTTCGGTAGTCATCTTGAGCATTAATAGATGGACAATAAGCCAAATGTAGTCTAATAACTTATAAGGTAGGTTTGGTGAAAGAGTATTAAGAAGGAGGTAGGTTTGTTTGTTACTATTAAATGAACTATTAAATGAGAACGACCTGCTAGTTCTAGCTGAGTAATGTTGAGTTAAATCGTTGAGAAGCACAAAGTATATGAATGATGTTAGGTAGGTTAGGTAGTGTTCCGGTTCTCTTATCAACCTTCAAGGTTGACATCCCGAGGCTTACTTATACCAGGTCTTGGCACAATCGGAGCTGATCAATGGCGTATAATTCACCGGGTGTCATCTCATTAGATCAGTGCAACTGCAGCTGACATTTTTCTAGCTGAGCGTACTTCTACATAGCCTTAACCCTTGTCTTTTCTTACTCCTGGCTATTCTATAATACTAACAAATGCGCCTCATACTAAGATATACTAAGATCTAAAAGCCCCAATTTATTCGCGTTAGTTGAGACTTTGAGCTGCACAAGAGATGGCGACATTTGCGTTAGTTGCGACCTTCCCTTTAAGAAGGCATCTCGCTAACAGAAGTACAGCCGATCAACATTTTCAGCAAAAGCCTACGCAGCTTTTCGGCCGGCTTACCCTCCATCACTGTTCCGTACCGTGCTGAACTACCACAAGCTACCCGCATCCAGCGGCACATTACTGGATCTTGGGTGCGGCCATGGCCTTATCGCGCGTTATCTCAGACCGCATTTCAAATCAGTCATCGCGATCGACCCGTCAGCAGGGATGATAACGCAAGCAAAGCAAACAACGACAGATCCTACCATTACGTTTCGTCAAGGTAGTGCCGAGGATCTGGACTTCTTATCTGATGGTTCTGTAGACATGGCTGTTGCGGGTCAGGCCGCGCATTGGTTCAACTACGGTAAAGTCTGGCCGAACCTCGCCCGTGTGGTGCGTTCCGGCGGCACAGTCGCCTTCTGGGGGTATAAGGATAACGTGCTTATCGGCGCCGAAGAGGCTACCGAAATCATGGAGCGGTTCGTCTACGGATTCGGCGAAGTAGCGCCGGGCGTAGAAGGAATGGGTCCGTATTGGGAACAGCCTGGGCGTAATATCCTGCGCAATCTCCTACGTAGCGTGCAGCCACCCGAAACAGACTGGGTGGACGTTACTAGGCTAGAACACGAGCCCGGCGAGGAGGGGACAGACGAGACCTGCTGGTTGAGGAAGAAGATGAAGCTAGGTGAGGTAGAAGGCTATGTGAAGACGTTTAGCTGCTTCAACGGCTGGAAAGAGGCTCATCCTGAGGCGAAGAGCAGAGCGGATGGCGGAGATGGAGATATACTTGATATCATGTGGGATCGCATGGTCGATGCGGTACCAGAATGGAAGGCCATGGGAGAGCGGTGGCGGGAGGCTGAAGTTGAGAATGATTGGGGTACTTATATATTAATGGCTAGGCGTCGGTGATGTACGGTAGGACCACTGGTGCTTCAATGTCATGATCACAAGGATCGGGATGGTCTTATAGCATTTTGAGGATGTTTTCTCAGCTTCATTATCGCCGCTCTCTTCCACGGACTATTCGTCAAGGATAAAGTCGAGGATAGCCTAAATGCTTAACAAAGTAAAGAAGTCTTTTTAAAATATTTGGTAAGTATAACTACCTACCTACCCAGATATTGCATGCAGTGATACTTAGAAGGATTATTTGAGGCGAATATGCATCTATGCATTGGCAGAATTAGTATGGTAAACATTCACAAGCTTATGTTAATAGCAACGATATATGTAAGTGGTTCTAGAGCGCTCATTGGTTCAATGCTTCAGCGGTGAATTCTGGCCGCTCTGGATTTGGAACCAACCAAATCGTCCTTGCTCAGTCCAATGTGTACCTAGGTACATATGACGGGAGTACCTAAGGTAACTAAAATGGACAAGGTTAGGTTACGCCGTTGCCCCGTCAATCCGAAAGCCCAACTTGATCCACTTAATTGCCAGCACGCATGGACTACGCTAAGGTAGGGGGGGTAATTCAATTACATTGTTTCATCTCTGTTATTCAACTTTCTTATTACCTTAACCATCGTCCTCACAACTCCAGAAAATATCATCACAAACGCCGACTCCGTTTTTACGCCGTTCCTGACCCAATCTACTTACGATTCCAACGTCTAATACCTCAAAATGGTGAGTTGCTCTTGTTTGCTTCGATTTACTATCTACATGTGTACTACGGGAAAATAAACAAAGGGCTTCCTTGCTGCTGCCCCTCGTAACCCCCTAAGTCCTGGCTTAGTGTTGGTGTTACGCGATGGGAAACGACCAGTCAGCAGAATCCTTTCTCAGCAGCTAGCAACATGTAGCCAGCGGCGACGCCGCACCCAAGACTTGCTATTCGCGATCCTTTCACCATTTCTCCGAAGCAACTCGATTCTTAGAAAATAAAGCAACAGCAACGGTCTCATCATATCTACTCCTTTTGTGGATCTCAATTACTTCGCCTTTATATCATCTGCGTTTAACCGAGATTTTAAAGAAATTGTCGATATGGCCGCTAACGATGCTCAGGCTTCTACCAACTACAAGGAGGCTTTCTCATTATTCGACAAGCGAGGCAATGGCCGCGTTTCCCTCGACAGCCTCGGTGACCTCCTGCGTGCCTGTGGCCAGAACCCTACCTTAGCCGAGATCAGAGATTTGGAGCGTAATGTTGGTGGTGACTGTGAGTAACCCCTATTACCTGATACGCCTCTATGTCAATATCTGTGTACATGCGCAATGTACAAGTATCTAGAAATTGAGCGCTAGGTGCGTTATGTAAATAATTAGAACACAGTTAGCTAATACGACCACAACGTTGTAGTTGACTTCGAGACTTTCTCGAAAATCCTGAACCGACCAGGTGGCTTCCGTGACCCCGGCGAACCTGACGAATACTGCCGCGGCTTTCAAGTTTTCGATAAGGACATGACTGGCTTTATTGGTGTTGGTCAACTCAAGTACATTTTGACGAATCTAGGAGAAAAGATGACGGATGAGGAAGTGGACGAGTTACTTAAGGCTGTCGACACCAGCTCAGGACAAGTCAACTATACCGGTAAGTACAGGATCTTTAAAATAAACTAATAGTTGGGAAAAGAGCAAAAGCAATAACTAATACGGCGCAGAGCTTGTCCGAACCATCCTAGCCAATTAAGATCAGTTCACCCTCACGAGCATTGATGGAAGCTGGAGTTTAGAGGCGTAGAAATTATTACATGCACCGACGAAACTTTTCATAAAAGAAGAGTATCAATACATCACATCATAGGCATGACTGGGAGGACGATATGGCGTTTGCTCATTAACGGGATTATGTGAAACTGGATTGACCTATTTGGTCTCTCACGATAGTCATAAGTCAGATACGGAGGAGAGGTGAATAGGATCGTATGGTGGTGTGGGCAATTCGGAACCCCTTTGCTTTTCACCGATTCTGTACGTAATGCAAAAATTCTTCTCAATCCAGAACAACGGATTTCAATGGTTGCGTTCGGCTTTGCAGATGAGAGGCTAGGTACCTGTTTTAATTGGCCCGTAACGCCCGGAATGCCAGTACCTAATTCCAGGTAGTTACCATAGCCCTAGGTTACAGTGTGATCCCCCGCAATCTAGAAAAGATTGGTGGGACTCGCAGGCGTCTTGGCTTGGTCACGATCAGCATACGTTTTAGCTCCATACAACTTTTTAGACGCATCAATCAGACCGTTTGAACGCTCAACTTTACATTGTCACGTACCTATCCAATGTGGACACCTGCATCTGATAATACCTATAAGATTCAATCTTGGAAGATTCCGATACACGCACCCGCAATTAGGCTTCTATGTGCCTGTTTGCCTAATACCTAGGTACCTTCCCAGGTAATACCTTAAGTACATAAAAGCCCCGCGTCGGTCCTGCTGTATTTGACCCCCCATTGGACCCCTCAAACCCCCTCGTGATACATACTGGCGAACTCAAGCAGAGCTACTTCCACTAGAAATTACCACCGTCCTTCTTTCTTCCTTGTAGCTTCCTTTCTCATCCTCCTACTCGCCATAGCCTACAATCTGGCTGCCCCACGAGCTCTTTCCCGTCTTACCTCGTATCTTAACCAGATACGACCAAAGACTATTCCCTCAACAACTCTCTTCCCCTTCACACGCTCAACTTCTCCAGATCGATCAATTGTGACCGCCACTATGGCTCCGGATAAGTACAAGAACCCTCCCCAGGCACCGCCGACTTTCACGGGTACCAAGGAGTCTATTGTCAAAGACGCCCAGACCATTTGCGACACTACGAGGTCTTTGCTAGACAAGCTTGTTGCTGATGTGTCTGCCTCAACCGCAACTTTTGCTTCGGTCCTAGCACCCATAGCAGGAGATGAGGACGAGTCTCAGTTGAACACTCGAATCCTCGGCTTCTACCAGTATGTTTCGAGCGACGCTGACCTAAGAAATGCTTCCACCGAGGCGGAGAAGATCATGGATGAATTCTCTATTGAGTGCAACATGCGCGAGGATGTTTTCAAACTTGTCGATGCTGCCTTCCAGGCTCAGAAGAGTAAAGAGCCCGATCTCGATGCCGAAAGCTTGCGACTACTCGAAAAAGAACGGAAGGGTTATATCAGGAATGGATTAGGACTACCCCAGGGTCCCCAGCGAGATCGCTTTAAGGAGATTAAAAAACGTTTAAGCCAGATAGGTATCGAGTTCCAAAAGAATCTCAATGAAGAGGACGGCGGGCTATGGTTCACCAAGGAAGAATTAGACGGCGTTCCGTCTGACGTGACCGATGGTTTAGAAAAGGGAACAGGGGAGAACGAGGGAAAACTGAAGCTTAGCTTTAAGTATCCTGACCTTTTCCCTACCTTAAAGTTCGCTAAAAACCCGGAAACGAGGAAGAAGGTCTTCATTGCAAACGAGAACAAGGTACTTATACAGTTATCCCCCGATATTTGCTACCCGTACTAGTAAAAAAGCTTTATTCGGACGATATTGGCTAATAAACTACAACAGACTAACCAGAACGTCGCCCTCTTCAAAGAGGCTGTTCTATTGCGTGATGAAGGTGCCCGACTCCTAGGCTACCCCAATCATGCCGCTTTCCGCATAGAAGATAAGATGGCTAAGGAGCCAGCTACGGTCAACGTCTTCTTATCAGATCTTCGAAAACGCCTCGCGCCGGGCGGTGAGAAGGAAACGAATCATTTGCTTGAACTGAAGAAAAAAGATGAGGAGTCGAGAGGTCTTAAGCCGGATGGAAACTATTACCTCTGGGACCATCGCTTCTACGACCGCATGATGGTGGAGCAGGAATATAACATTGACGAGGTCAAGATTGCGGAATATTTCCCGTTGCAAAGCACAGTTCGAGCCATGTTACACATCTTTGAAGAGTTATTTGGTCTAGTTTTCGTGGAACTAGACCCCAGCGAGCGTAAGAGGTTATCTCCGACCAGTAAGGCCGAAGATATTGCTTGGCATGAAGATGTCATTCTCTTCTCCGTCTGGGATGACAGCTCCGAGGGTGATGGCTTTGTTGGCTATCTCTATCTCGATCTACACCCACGGCAAGGCAAGTATGGCCACGCTGCCAACTTCAATTTGCAACCCGGTTTCCGGAAGAAGGACGGAACGCGTAGGTATCCTGCTACTGCCCTCGTATGTAACTTCTCTAAGCCGACGGAGAAGAAGCCCTCTCTCCTGAAGCACGACGAAGTGGTAACCCTTTTCCACGAGCTTGGACATGGTATCCATGATTTGTCTGGCCGAACTACGTACAGTAGATTCCATGGCACGGCGACAGTTAGAGACTTCGTTGAAGCTCCGAGTCAGATGCTTGAGAATTGGTGCTGGACACCTAGTCAGCTCAAGGCCCTCTCGAATCACTATGAAACTGGCGAGAAGATCCCCGACGAATTGATCGAGAAGCAGATCTCAACCAAGCACGTCAATGACGCGCTATTCAACCTTAGGCAATTGCATTTTGGTATCTTCGACATGACAGTGCACTCCCCTGCTACCCACGAGGAACTAGAAAAGACTGATTTCAGTGCCCTATTCAACGACCTACGGACCCAGATCGCTGGCCTTAAGGGCCCTGAAGCTCTTGGAGAGCCAAGGTACGTTTCCCCTTATAATGTGTATTGGATCGTGGTTACCATGTAACTAACTGCAGTTGGATAATAGCACCTGGGGTAATGGACAGGCAACCTTCGGTCATCTCATAGGGGGTTACGACGCAGGTTACTACGGCTACCTATCCTCGGAGGTCTACAGCACCGATATGTTCTATTCCGTCTTCAAGAAAGATCCAATGAATGGAAAAGAGGGCCGTAGATACCGCCATACCGTGCTAGAGCGCGGAGGTAGCCAGGACGAAATGACGACTCTTGAACAATTCCTTGGTAGAAAACCTAGCAGTGACGCTTTTTATGCGGAGTTGGGTCTTACTGCACTTACATCTGCAGCGTAAGAAAATATTTATAGATGGGCCAACGCTATGGTATGGTCTAATATAGATAGTATGGAGTTATTCCGAGGTTTGCAAGTTGTTGCTACTGCCTCTACTCCGGCTATATACTAGTAGATCTCCTAATTCCTCCATTACTTTTATGGAGCCAATTAGCCTACTATAGAACTGATTAAAATGCGAAATAAAGATTTTGTATTATATATTCCTTTTATCAAGACGTGCTGGTAACGGACTAATAATAGCAGTATATAACTATAAGACTTGTAGTATTTTTATAGAGACCTTATAGTGTCTTTCTATGTCAATAGCCCAGAGATACCTAGGTGAGTATCCAATATTCCTGATCTTCAGATATCCTTTATCTCCCATTTAACTAAATGGGCACCTAGTTCTAATATTAAAAATATACGTTCAAAGGACGATTTAGAATCAATACTACTTAGTTGAAAATATTTTAAAGCGGTAGAAGAGATTGTTTTAGACTGCTATATACAAAAATGAATGTGCTCTAAGTGTATATGATTGAAACTATTGCTCTACCTCCAACATATATTCAAAACCCCCCTGTATACTTCGCATCCTCCTTTCACCCCCTTTTAGCATTGGCAGAACAACAGTTTAGTTGGTGCGGGCGAGGAGGCGGTTGGCGATGTCGGAGACGTAGCTGGGAGTAGCTCCGCGGCCATCGCTGAGGTCGTTGGGGTTGACGGAGCCCGAGTTGTACTCGCGCAGGGCCTTGTAGATGCACTCGGCGGTGTCGGCGTCGCCGAAGTCCTTGAGGTTCTGCTTGAAGTGGTTGGTACCGGCGCGAACCATGGAGGTGATTTGGTCCTGGGGTATTGTTAGTAGTTGTAATTTTGAACCCCCGGAGCGAGCGAGATAGTAATAAGAGATAGGTGGATATGGGGGTATCTCATGTAGAGGGATCCCCTTTTTAGGTGCCTGTCCCCTTTTGCTATGGTTGAGTTACGTACCTGGCTGAGACCGTGCTGGCCGGGGAAGCCGGGGCTGCCGTCACATTGCATGAGGCCGGCGGTGGAGTGGCCGTCCATGTTTACGGTGGTGCGGACACCGACGTTGCCGGTGCTCTCTTGCATGATGATGGCAAAGATGACACTGATATCAGGCTAGTCAGTGATATATTCTCAAGGTAAAGGTAGGGAAAGCGGAGAAATATAAACTAACCGCTCCTCAACACCGATCTTGGCGCATTCGGTAACGGCGTTCCAGATACGGCCAATGTCCTCGCCAGTGTCGCCAGTGGCTGCCATGGCGGACTTGTTGGCGTTGAAGATCTCCTCAAACGACTTCCACTGGTCCTTGCCGGGGAAGCTGGAGGCGGGGCCGGAGTAGTGAGTGAAACCCATTGTGACTGATTTTTAAAACTTTGAGGAGTGGTGGAAAGTGTGTAGTAGAGTGTTGATTGAGACTTGTTGTTGATTGTGGATGTTGTGAGTGGTGATTCTCTTCATTCTGTGGTTGCCAACCTGCCCCTTTTTATATTTCTTCGAGTCCTATGTCTTGCCACCTAGGTGTACAACCATCCCCAGTCGTGGTTCAGTAGTCCTCCACTCTATCTTCGTCTACCACCCCAAAGAGAGCTTATTGCCGGCAGTGCTGTGGTGTGAATCTGCATGACTGCATCTCGTGGCCAGGTGGGTTGGGATTGCCACATATCGTATGGGCTCCTCTATTCCCCGTGTTCTGTCCGTAACTCTGACCGGCAATCATAGCCGCACAAATAATCGCTACAGGGCTTGTTTCTTCCCCGATGTGTCCTTTGGTAGCTTACTGGCTGTTCTTCATCTTCACTTAGGTCAGCATGTTTTTGGATATTGTAACCAATATCGCGGATTAGCTCAGCAAGACTTGGCCATATGATCTATCATTCCTAGCTTTTACTTATTCCGCCTTGCCAGACTCGGATTGGATCTTACCTAGGAGCTGCAATATCTCACGTAGCCAAAAGGGCCAGAATATCATGATGAAGTCAGCAATTATGTCATCCTTGAGGCTCACTTTAATGGTAGCCTATTAATAACCTTATTGACACATATTGGGAACCTCTGTGCAATGATTTACACTAATATTATGTGAGCTTCAATCGATGTCACATATATCTTCCTTATCTTCCAGGCTGAGTTATATAGGTACAGTCTTTTATTTCGAAGTCATGTAATACGATTACAATAAGAATATCAGACAGAATATTTTGAAGATTTATTTGGATGATTTGTCACTGTGAGAATAGAGAAGTTATCCTGTATAAGCCATTATTCCATAGTAATCCCTAGAGTTAACCTTGTATGTCACCGCTAAGCCTCATGGCGATATGTTTGAGGCAACCAAGGCTCTTTAACCTAGGAAGTGATATAAGTCGGGAGTAGAAACATATTAAGCTAGTTCGTTATCGACCCAACGCTGGCGTAAGCGGCGATACTCGTTCGCAACTCGTGTTGGTGGGTAGTTTGGGAAAGCCTTACTCACTCTTATGAGGACATCCCCAGATTTTCGGTACTTGTACCTGCAGCTATTTGATGACAGAGAAATAGGCGCCACATCTTGTTATGGGGTGCGAAGGGGCCAATTATTAGTCCTAGCAATCTCACCTCACAGCTTACTGAGTATGAGGGTGATGAATTAGCTATTACATCAATCGGTAAATAAACTATCAACTAAGCCTACCTACACGTAGAGTATTATTAGAAAACTTACTAACCTAGGCAATTATCAAGATTACCTACCTAAGGTAAGGATGTAGTTGAGACAATATTTGGCCTTAAATCGGCCCATCCGCAAGTCTTCCTGCTTGAAGAATATATATATATATATTTATATGTATTTGTATTATATTTTATTGTTTGTTATCGCAAGTATATCGTCGCATAAATTACAATGCTTAAAGCTGCGTACTTGAAGCTAGTATAAGCCCTGGTAGACGTATTGCCATTTGTTTAAAGACCATGCATGTGTTAAACTTGTTCCAAGCATCTAATTTCGATGCATCGGCCCAGGCATTACCAAAACTTTACATTTCGACTTATTCGTCTTTTGAATCTGCCTGCTCTCATGTGTGTATAATTTGGTGACGAATCTTACAATAAATAATAGTTCCTAGGTTGTCAGCTTATCTCTCATTGGCAATATTCCAGGAAGCTTAAGCCTTAAGGTACGTATTCAAGGTACGTACAGTACAGACTACAGAGCCGCCTCGAGTAGGTTCCATACATGTATGGAAATGGGCATTTTACCTAATGCACGTATTATTATTTTTTGTGGCTGAGGTAACGGTGGGGCCAATGGAGGTGGGACCGGAACGGAAAGTAAACAGAAACGCGGTCGAGTAGCCAATTGAACCCGTTTGACATTGAACATCACATTGCAGCCGACTTCACAACCAAATTTCAAGCAATTGTTTTCTCCTTTGCAGTTTTTACTCGTGTTGCTCTTCGCAGTTATATGATGCTATTTTCGTGCATATGATACACACTTCTTCCACTCTAATCTCGAATATACTTTTTGCGACGCGCCGGTAGACTCGTAAAGTCCGCTGTGCTCAGATACCGTTTCCATCCCATCAACCTCCTTTGCCAACTACTTTCGCATGACAGCTTCTTAAGACATGGATACTGACGAGGCTCCCGATCGTTACTTTACCTATGATGGTAGATTGGCGTCATTTCAATCTACATATCGACCATCTGGTACTAAAGGAAAAGCTTCAAAAGCACTCACTTGGCCACACAAACAACTTGACCCAGCCCAAGTAAGTCTCTACGCGCACAGAGGCTTCACTAGCCTATACAAATACTAACCATTGTTGTTCAAAGTTTGCCCAAGCCGGATTCTACTTCGACCCTTCCCCCGAAGCACCCGACAACACTGTCTGTTTCCTTTGCGTAAAGGCGTTCAAGGGATGGGAAGAGAATGATAGCCCGTTAGAGGAGCACCTACGATTATCACCACGTTGCGGCTGGGCTATTGTGGCCGCCATCGAGGCGGGCCTAGGAGATTATGGCTTTGATGATCCTAACGATGTACCAATGGCTGAAGCGCGAAAAGCTACGTTCGGGGGGCTCTGGCCTCATGAAGGGAAGAGAGGATGGAAATGCAAAACCAAACAGGTCAGCATATGTCCCCCATCATCTAGAGTCTGGTTTTGCTAAATCGATGCAGCTTGTGGAAGCCGGTTGGAAATACACGCCGACTGCAGACTCGGACGATATGGCAACTTGCACCTACTGTTCTCTTGCACTTGATGGTTGGGAACCCAAAGATAACCCATTGTAAGCAGCGCATTTTTTCATTGCTCTCTCATTTATTAACGTGCCGTAATAGGGATGAGCATTATAGGCGGTCCCCGGACTGCCATTTCTTTGCATTATTGAACCAATATAAGAAGGGTCCAGCAAAGAAGAAAGGTAGAGGAAAGGGTGCCAGAGCCTCCCAGTCGTCCAGACTATCCTCTCAGTCCATTGCTACGACTGTTGCATCTGACGCAACATCGTTACTTGAGCCTTATGTCGATCATGATGACAGTGTTATGACTACTACGTCCATCATGACCCAAGGTGGCACAAAGCGGGGCAGGGCGAAAAAGACAACTGCCTCTAAGGGAAAGAGAACCCGAGCGAAGAAGGAAGAGGTGGTTGAGGTGCTTGAAGATTCCCCAGAACCACAAGAGGAGCTGGTATTCCCAATGCCGCCACCGAAGGCTACTCGTGGACGCAAGCGAGCTAGTGACCCCCTTGAAGACTCGGAGCTGACAACGGCGGACGTCCCAGCAGCTAAGAAGAGAGCCACGCGCACACGAAAGGCGAGTATTGCCGAGGCATCCGTTATTGAACAAGAACCCGACCAGGAGATGTCCGACATAGATCCAGCTCCTAAGTCAAAAGCGAAAGGAAAGAAGCCCAGATCGACTATCACTCGCAAGACTAGAAAAGCCTCTACGGCGTCTACTATATCAAATATTTCCCTCCAAGGAGATGCTGCTCACATGATGGATGATGAAGAGCTTGATAGACAATTACAGGCCGATCTTGACCGACCGTTATCAGACGATGAAAATATTGCAGCCGATTCAGATTCAGACCGAAAGAAAGTCCCACCTAAGCATAAGAGCAAGAAGGCTGCCGTTCAGAAAAAGGACCCTGCAAGTCAAGGCGAAGTGTCGGGTGATCATGCTATGTTCGACCCTCAGCCCCCTCATATTGACGAGGCAGTAGTTGAAGATGAGCTGAAAGCGCTAGAGGCCGAGATGGAAATTGAGCAAGTCGAGGCACCTCCAATTCCAAAGAAAGGCCGTAAAGTAACTTCCAAGAAGACTTCGAAGCAAACAACAAAGAAAGCTAAAGAGGCCGAGTCCGCTGCGCCAAATGTCGAGACGGCAACTGTAGATGAATTGGCCGAAGGTCATGACGTGAGTATTGTTAGCAACTCAACTATGGTCCGAACTAGCCTTGCGTCGAATGCGGCTCCTAGGAAACGTGGTCGGCCTAGTAAAAAAGCCTCAATAGTAACTCCAGACCCGAATCCTGATGAACTTGCCGATGTTGAGGTCAGGGCTCCATCCGAAGCTATTGACGTTGGCAGTTCCGCTGAAAAAATACCTGCGACAAAGACGAAGACTCTCTCCCCCGCAGCAACGTCTTCTCCTTTAGTCAGTAAACCTTTACCTCCGCCTCCAATGGAGCCGGATGAGCTCCAGCCTCCTTCAACGCCTATTGCCTTAACATCTCCAACCCCGGCCGCAAATCAGGCGATTTTATCACCTTCACAGTCGCCTCAGGCTTCTGATGCTGAAAACGAGCCCCCATCTTCGAAGCCCTCAAATACCACAAGTAGCTCTCGGGTTGTCCTGGCTCCCATTACTGCTACGCCTGTACGCACCTCCCCGTGTAAACAAAATGTCCTGGCTGGGTTACAGAGCAATACTCCCTGGACTACTGTCGACGTTGATATGGTTTTCGAGAATATAGATAAAGAGAATACCTCAGGATCAGCGAAGTTCTTGAAGAGTGGTGCTGATCTCACTAGCCCTGAAAAGCGAATGACTGTCGAGGAGTGGATTTATCACAACGCCGAGGAAGCCGAGAAGAAGTTAAAACACGAGTGTGAGACCATGGTTACAGCCTTTGAGAAAGAAGGAACGAGAGCCATGCAAGCTCTTGAAGGCCTTATCGTCGACTAGGCGAGGGACAATTGGGTTAGGTTTAGGTTGGTCGGCCAGGTATAATGACTATAGTGCGGGTCTGGGTATGATAGGATGGACGTTACGATAACCATATTGGCGTTGGCGGCTTGCTTTCGGATACAGGAGTTGGATGCAGCTGAGATTGATGCGATCCATCCCTGTTTGTCACCAAGTGAGTGATATGAAGAGATACATGTGAATAGAGCGATTGAATCAGGAGTGTCGTATTACGGCCATTAGCTCTATCATCATATATACCCGAACGATACTATGATGCATTGGTTGTGAATTTTTTGGCTTATATGCCGCATGCATCCTTGAGACGCTAATACTATGTAGAATTTAGTGGTTGGATAAAAGTATGTCTTCGTCGTATATGGTAAGATCGATTTGATTCTTGTTTTTCTAAGCTGTATTTCAAGCATTGACAAGGAGGTAAGTTCACGTTTTAGGGGAGATATTTAGGGTCTTTTTTTTTTTTTTTTTTTTTTCGTGATGCCTTACAATACGTATTTAATTGACATGACTAGGCCTTTTTAGCATTCTTGAATATCTAGAATATCTAAGGACTGGACATTGGTGTTCCTGAAACCTAGAGTGGCGAGCAAGGGAAAGGCCGCATCAAATATGAGGACTAGGGTAGTTGATAGAAGAGCGAATGAGATGAGAGGGAGATGCCCAACTGAGTAAGTGGATACCTACAAGACCACCAATATGAGGTATCTATACAGCGGACAGGTTGTTCTATATATAGAGAAGGAATCACTAGCAAAACTGTTACGTATAGTAACTCTTAGATACATCGTACCGAGGTCTACCCGTGTGCCGTACGTTGAGTTCATTGAAGTTGAAAAAAACTATAAAGGTTATGGTTATTTCATAAACACATCCTGTTGTTAGTACCCCAAACGCCCACAGGGCACGGACCTGGCGTGTGGTAAATATATCACATTAAACCTAGGTACAGAGGTATGAAATAAGGTCTTCTTACTTTAACATTTACTAGGTTATAAGTATTAGTATTTTCGATGAGTCGTCTAGAAGAAAGGATACCGTTGGTATGTATAGCCTTCGGCTCCTATGTCTAGTTTAGAGCGAATGACGCGAGGCAGTGTACAAGTTGCAATTCCTAAAACTGGGCCAGTTACCAATGGGCAACGTACTTGGGCAGATTCTCAACTATACTTACCTAGGTAAGTATAGTTGAGAATCTGTGAGCCACTAGATATATACCTAGGTATATATTTAGTGGTTCTCTCTTTCGTTTCTTGCTTTATGTAGCATCATCGCTAGGTTAGTAGCTTCAACCCGTTGAAAGTAACGATTTGAACAATCAGGACTGTCCGTAGCTCAACTAGGATCAATACGTTAAGAGCTCTATAGTCCGTAAGCCAAGACTACTTGATCCATGATTGTAGTTTTTCTGGTACGCTGAGGTTATGTGTTAAACATGGGGTTGGCGGTAATCTTGCTCCGTTCCTGCATTTTACCGGCAGCTTATGCGGCTCGGTTACAGAAGATTCTTCACACACGTGGTTTTATTAGTTATAACATATCAGAGAACTTAACACGGCTTTCTTAATAGGTAGTGACTAAATCTAAGTGAAACAATCGACTCGCGATCCCGTGAAAAGCATGTAGTACGCTAGCATTATGAAGGTCAGTTCTAGGTTCAGGGGTAAATATGATCATACCTTATCCTCCAATGAGACAACTTATAGGTTTTAGAGTCTACCCTTCATAGCTGGAGTTATCAAATGTCTCTTCTTATCTTAGGATACTTTAGTTGTAAAACTATATTGTATTATATTTTTAGACTATAGTAATAGGCAGGTAGGTTACCAAGAACACAGTTACTAGAAGGCAACATGTAAGACTAATGCAATCAAATAAACTCAAGTCATACTCAATAATAAGAGTATAGCGAGGGAGGTTTATATTATACTATATAACGAATTGAATTGGCTATGGAATTCGGAAATGAAGGACAGTAAACCTTGCGATGGTATCTTTCCGCTCAACTCCACTAGCAGCCAACTCCCCCGTTCCCTCATTGACAAGACTTAGAGGCCGGCTATTAAATATATACCGAAGCGGGCCCCTTTATTTTCCCTCCGGTTTTCCGATAATTGGAAACCGGAAATACGTTCCCAGTGGTCGTGAAATCGTCTATTGACATGAATATAAATACTAGTCGTTTTCGGTTTTGTAAGATTGATCGGAACGGGGAGGACCGAAATCGAATTGGAAGACAGCGAACGCCGGTTCTACTAGTGTAGCGGCGGATCCGATTTAGTGAATGGGCCGGTGGCTTGAAGTCGCCCACCGTGCTCCCCAATGTAGCACGCCGTCGGGTTGCAGCCGGACGGTGCTTGCAGAGATATGCATCTAAGGTCGGACGAGGGTAATGGGGTACTCCCTGAGTAGGCGCTTGTGGACCTCATGTGAGACCGTACTGTTAATGCCCGGTGCCGACGAAGCACGAGTAGTGAGGGAAGTCCCGTTGATGAATGGGAAAGGGGCAGCAGAGCCGACCTGGAGCATGGCGGTAGCGGCCAGCAGAGCAGCGAAGAAACGAGCCATTTTTGATGTTTTGAGGGACTTTATTGACAGTTAAGTGACAAGAGAGTTGAGAGCTGCGGATGTAGGTGGCGAAATCGCTATAGGAACTGTTGTGAGGTCTCTCATCAACTTAAGGTGAGCAGGCGGACCTCCTTTTATGGTCGAGGCCGGTTCGCGGCCGTACCGCACAACAAAGGATCGGCATATGAGTTGCAGTATTCGTAACTAATGACTGATGCTCCCAGATAAATCTTCACATCTACTACCTCATAGCAACATTTACATATATGAATTCATTTTCAAAGAGACCAACCCAGGCGAACCCATCCCGTTGACCAATCCCACCGGGGTTAATGCCTATCTCGACAGGGCCAGGGCAAGGCCAGGGGCAAAATGCTAAACCAGTAATATTCTGCGTTCAAAGATCAGCAGCCGGCGCTACTGGAGCAGCCGCATGCCTAAAAGTTCAGATGGTGGTGACATGGGTGGTCGGTGAGTACTAACTACCATCTCAAGCTTTATCCTATCATCTTCCATGAGAAAATATTCTACTGTAGCTATAGACGCGGCGCGAATCATGCAGTTCTGACCCAGACCGGAAGAAGTAGATAGCGTTTCATACTACCCACTCGGTTACCAATTAAGCGATTGCGGCGACGTGACATGCTTGGCCAAGTATAATATGTACATGTTCGCCATCCTAGTCTACACGTTGCCTTTTTCTCGAACTTCATTGCTTGGTAATGGTTCGAACGACTATTTCCAAGCAGTTGATACCACTTTGCGTAACGATGTTTGAGTCGATGTAGCTAGCAATAGGTACCCTACTCATTTTATAAATCAATTATTTAAATGGTTACGCATACAGTGCCCTTCGGAGTGAAACACTAAGTCATCGCTGAGTTAAACTACAGTTCTTGTTGTGTTTTATAACGGAGTCGTCATTATTCGAGAAAGCGTGCGGTTGAATTCCCATCGAGATAGAGGTCTACTACATGAACTCGACGTGCATAGGAGAACTAAACCGGCAATCAATATCGAAGGGGTCCTCTGCAGGTGGGGTGATACAACATTAACTCGTTGGCCCTATGTAAAGCCTAGCCGGTGGTGTTCCTGTTTATTAAAAACCGCCGGTGACGGGGCCCAGGGGTTACATTAGAAGAACGGGAAAATTGTAAAAGCTTAGGGAGCTTGTCTAGCTCCTTGGCGAGATACTTAGGACCTACCTATGTTTCCGGCCTGCGATATTCTATAGAGATAAGAAATCAGAAACTTAAGGGGGTATTGTGCCGGCTTTCATACAATAATTTATTTACGTCTCTTTTGTACGAGTCAAAGCATATAAGTTACAACGTGATACGACCTAATAAGAGATGTTCTGCCGCGTATGGTGGATTATAATTCAACTTGTCATCGGTGCATTATTGCGTTATAAGGAACTTATATAGAGATAGATGGCAAGAATACCTAGACATGACTGTTGATATGTAACCCCCATTCTCTGCGAAACGCGTGGGCTGAGCTTCCCAATTCCGTAAAGCGTTTCGTTTCAAAGACGATGGAGGGAGGCTACGAAGCATCAACAGGGGAATCCAAGTGCCGATCATAGCGTGCTGTTAATCGCGATTCAGTGCCCTATCATAACGGGGACGATAGGTGGTAAAGGATGCAAGATTCGCTACCAGCCAAGGGAAATATTTGTCCTTCTTGGCGTTACCCATCTGCCAGGCACCCAGGCACGGAAGAAGTCAATTAAGGCTGATCTTCGCCTTTATCAGTAGGCGGCATGCAGACTGCATGAAACAACCTCCGTTATCTTCTTGGAAAAGACCTGTACTTTTCGCTAAACAAAGAAGGAAGGAAAGAAGATTGGAGACGATTCCCGGAGCTCTGGTTATAGCGAAGTTGCCATATATGGAATTCCGAATCTTTGAAGATCATCTCTTACATCAAGATCAGGAGAATTTTTCCCTTCACGTAGAGTTAGTCTTTCATCCGAAGAAAAGTCTCAGCGGAATATCCATTATCAGGATAGAATAACGGCGATCTTCGGAGACTCGGAAATGTTTACCTCGAAGATTCTGAATAAGATAGCCTGAAGAAGGATAGGATTATGGAAAGAAAGCCATCACATCGGATGTATCATAATGTGGTAGGACAACACCTCATACGATAGAGCACCTGAATCTCTCCCAACAAATTCTTACCGAGAAGCAGAAAGTCGTAACCTGCATCCCTTTCGATTCTAGATCTGCGACCTTAAAGCCTATTTATCAGCATGTCCAATCAAGAAGCCCAGTTTATATTATAAGATCGTTCTGGTCGCCAGTTTCATAAGAGATGTCACTATCAGAGTCTCAGTAAGGGATCATATATTAAAAGAGTTTAGATTTGCTAGAACGAGACCCTTGGCAATGCTTTTTTTTTTTTTTTTTTTCATCTGCTCGCGATGCTGTAATTAGAACATATAATTGATGTCACTTATTCACCCCCAATGCCGCTTCATACGCCATTACATCTTTTCTATGCGTACTGTAAAAGCCTTTTTTTTTTTCTTAGCTGCAACGTCTTGGCTTCATGCCCCAGGTTTACAATCTACAAAAGATCCTCTGCTAAAACAGAGATCCCCATCAACGCACTCGGTCCCAGTTACTGTGCGACGTGAATATTAGCCGCCTCGAAGACTACCTACCGGCCTAGTAATGAGAAGGGTGGCTGATAGAAGACTCTGCTTACAGAATGGTGTAGGTAGCGTTGAGAATTGGTGTCAAATATAACATCATCCCTCCATCAATCACATTTCGGGGTCTCGGACTACACACGACCGAGAAGAGCATAATATACCCGTCTAAGTACGTGGAAGGGTTCTGGAGCTCCTTTTCCCATGTTCGACTGCTATGGACAATCTCGACCCTCGTATTTGTCGACTAGAATAGGTAAGTTAACAAGAGATGATAGAAAGGGACGTAAAGACTTCCTCTCAGCCGGTTGCCATGGTCTAGTAGATTCTGTAGTATTATATTCTTGCTCTTCTACTATACCCTACCAACATAATGTTACTTCAACACAGCGTCCCTGCTTATATCCCCCTATATATACGTTATAGAGCCCTGCAAGTCGTTTTCCTCGTCAAATATCGCGTATTTCGGCGAAGCTTCGAGTAGCCCATAACGGGTGATAGGTAGGTATTCAGTTGACGTAAAGACCTGGATTTCGTCCGTACCTAGATAGGTAGCTACTGCAACCTATTATCTTGACAACAGCCGGTACTAGCTACGTGTAGGCCAGGCTTACCCTAGCCCCGAACAGTAGCATGGCAAATATAATCCTACCGGCTAGAACACAAAAGAGAGGAGGCTCTAGCAAGACCCAAGCGACAACTCAACGGCCCTCGACATAGAGCCCACCAACGCAAAGCCTCCAGCCGTACAGCGATCTTCTCCCACCTCCCACCTGGTCCTCATCAATAAGGTATATACGCGATGTCTATCAGTTTCCATGTCAATTCCCGCCCCTATTCTCTCGTACGATGTCCAGCCGCAAATCTACCTCGAACGACGATGATCTTACCAATGTCGTCAAACGCAACCCACGTTCCGGCGGGTTGACGTTGGAGACGCGAGATCATCAGAGAGGGGCTAAAGAGAATTACGCTCAGATACGCAAAGGTACTAAAGAAGGTATTGCTGCAACAGATCAATTGCTTCGCCTAATAGAAGTATATCTATCGTCGTGATAATCAATTGTTCAACAGCCACGTACTAGATCCCGGACGAACTCGGGCTTCTAGGAAGACCGTAATGTCGGCCGGCTTGGGAAGAGATACGGCTTGAGCTGGGTAGCCCGCTGTAGATCCTTTTGAGTACGAAGACCTGTATGCTAGGAACTACGTAAACTAAACCGTCACGCTTACGCGCTGTCGTTATGAGTCTTGTCATGATACTGCGGCCAATTCATATCTATATTGACAAGCGGCGACGATCTATCATAACCTTCCGTGTTATTTCCCACCTCCCTCAGGTTTAGGCAGCTTGTCCATGTATGCAGCAAGTTGCTCGTCACTGCTCTGCTTCCCTCCAGTCCCTTCTATAGCATGCTCAGATGTGCCCTCCAGGTTTCCATCATCTTCTTTCATATTAGATTTCGTACCGACGATGTCTTCTTGCATCTCTTCATTGTTAATTTTAACATCCCCAGTAGCTCCGTCCTTGATGCTGCTAGCTTGACTGACATCTGCACTATCGGGACTCTGTACTCGTAGACCTAAATGTCTCTCATTGTATGGATCCTCGTTGTTGCCGCCTTTCCAGTTGGCGGCTGGCATCTGCGGAACAGGTGTGTTGATGCTGGGCATAGGCATGACTGATTCCTTCGCTTCACCGCCAGACACGACGGATCTCCACACCACTGCGATTCTATCAGCAGCGCGTGTGCCTTTTTGGCTTGACCCTTTTATTCCGTCCAGCTTATCCCAGTCGATGTCAAAGACTCCGTCCAAATCCGGATTGCCGTCCTGTTCGGGCCCGTTGCCCTCGAAAAAGGTATTGAACCATACATGTGCTACGGCAGTGACCATGGTGAATCCCATTGCGGCTGGCGTACGATTGCGTCGTTCGATACATATGTTTACATCGCTATTAGGTAACTTAATCGGCTTGTGAGGTTTGAAAATGACGGCCATGCCACCAGGTTCGACGTCAGCATCGTTCTTAGAAGTTGACGAAGATGGACTGGTGGGGATCGTGGGTTTGGATTGGGGACTGTTTTCGGGCATACTACGGGCAGAATGTACGGATTCAGTAGATGAACACCGGGGGGGACTGGAAATAAGTTTCGGGACCGGCTTCATTGATAGTTTTGATGTTGGCGACTGTGAGGTCTGCTTTGGAGGCGTTACTGCAGACTCATTATCATTTACTTGATCGGTTTCCTTTGCCTCGTCGAGGGCTTCCTGGCCCGTTGTAGAGTTAATCCCATAACCGGCCATATCATATATCATATCCAAAACTCCGGTGTCACCTGGTGCATTGCCCTCAACTATGACTCGCTCTTTTTTCGAAAACGTGTGGAAGATCTTGATCTTTTTGCCTCCGTCCACATAACCTTCAACAGAAAGCTTAACACCAGAGCGCAGCCCCCAAACATGTATCTCGACGATTTCCAACTCTCGGTCAACATATTTCTTGCCTCCCTTGGTCCAGCGATCGACGTATCCTATCCATCGTAGCTGGCTCGGGATGGTCACGCCTGCGCCAAACTTAGGTCGCATTCTTCGCTCTGTGAATCTCGCAAGTGCCTGCTCCGGTGTCCAGCCGCATTCAGCAATGAGATAACTACAAGCCATCGTTCCGCTGCGGCCCTTGCCGGCTTTACAATGCACAACAGCTACACGGCCACCTTTCTTATCTTTTTTATCTTTCCACGTGTCTAAGACCTTCCCGACTATATTCTTCTTTTCGCCGGGAGTCCCTACATTATCGGCGTCGAGGTCGTTTCCGTTCAGCCAGTTCCGCATGCTCGCAACGATCATCGGTACCAGCATGAACGGGGGTGGATGGTGATCCGGCCAGGGATAGTGTCGGATCCGGTTGTAAACGAGCTCGTCCGGATAGCCGGTACCTTCGGCGCGAAACTCCCATATCGCCCAGTTCTTCTCGTGCTTAGAATCGAGAAATTCGACAAGGCGGTCGAGCGGATTGCGATAGGCACGTTGGGGGTATGTCTGAGAGGGACCGGACCTGACGACAGGATCTCATCAGCACTTCGTCGGTTACAGTAGCGAAGTGATAAGACAAGTAATAGAAAGGAGGGGTGAAGCTGTACGCACGTTGCAATTATATTATCTGTGACATAACAGAGATCTAACCCTGCTTCGGGATGTCTGGCGCGAGGTCCTGCGACGATCTGGCGCAGCAAAGAAGCCATTTTTTCGAGTCTCTTTATCGGGATGAGTTGATCGACGTACTGGCATTGTGGGCTAACCGCTCGTCTCTACAAAACATCGAAGTAGATGTTCAGGTTATCGTACATGACGTTTACCTATGTATTTTTTGAAGGTACCTTGTACTATACATAATGTAGGGTAGAGAGCAACCTTGTTTTTCTTTTTCAATTGACAGCTCGAGGCTATAAGCCGGTAGCTTCTACATAGGAGATAGTCTATACGTCATCAGACATGGAATTGGCAATAATTGAGACGAGAACGTTAGATCACAAGGTTAAATCACTAGTTAGGTTAGATCACTTACGGGTCCAGCTGCTTCTTTGGTAGTTGTGGCAATTGTGGCTAGAGATGTGGCTTGAAAGAGAAAGGGTCTATGACGTTTAAGGTTTAAGGTTGATAGGTAGTATTTACCTTACATAATAATTTTCATCCGTCACCTTCAATACCTAGGTACCTATTTCACCCCAACTTACAACTTACAACCTTCATTCCAGCCACGATATCCCAACATAATATATTCTAAACAATGTCATACTTTTGTCCATGCGTTGATTTGTGCCCAGGAGCCATGAACGGATCAAGCCAATCAACTACATCCCGATCTGGATATACCCACCAGTCCTCACCAAGGGCAGCATTCCCAGTTCTATTAACCTCGCTCATGAAGTAGTGTACTGTTCTTGGAGGAAGTTGAAGTCCGAGTAGTAATTGATGTACTTTATCATTGGTGCGATTTAACGCACCCATCATGAGCTTTACTGTGCCATTAATTAATGCATTCGGAGCGTTGCGCGAAAGCGCCAGAAGTTTTTCCAAGACGATAACCCATTGGAGTATGCTAATCACCCAAGTCAGCTTATATTCTTTCTAATACAGTACTGTTTCCAATATAGGACTTAAGAGGTCATCACTTACTGGTCAGCGTCGAGCGTTCCGTGCATCGTTCGAACTTCTATCGTCGCGGGGTTGTTCTCATTCGGTTCGTCCGACTTCTTATCACCTCGTATGCGTATTCGAATAGCCGGTCTGATATAGTCGTTCTCATCATCTTCACCGCCGGCTAAAGCATCCGTCAAATCGCTAATTGACGTATAATGCCACACGTTGGAAATGAATTCTCTTATGCTTTTTTCGACGGTCGAAATATCAAAGTGTTCGGCCATGCTTGCTTTACTACGATCTCTCTCAGCTGGGGTAGAGCGTGGTAAACAACCACTCTGCCTATAACGAATATTCGGATCGCGATGGGAGAGAGCCTGTCCGAGACATGTGCCCTCGGATATTTTACCACACCACTTCGCCATCCGAGCTGAGCCCCGGTCCTTCCTATGAAGATGTATAAGAATCGGCTCCGCTAGCGCCCAGAGCGTGACAAATCTCTTGATCTGTAATAAGTTCCATCCATGCTTATGGCCCAGGTGCACGTGAAGTCCTGTTGAGCTCTCCATAGGCTTGTGACAACGCAGGCTTCCACGAATTGCAGTGCAAGCCTTTCGAATGGCTTCAAACGCCTCTTTATCATGAAGGGACATCGGAGGGCTAATTACCTCCGCACCAAACCACTACAAAGACACGTTGGTTAGTTATTTTCTAAATGTGTGCTCTAGGGACTGGGGATATCTTCAAGGAGATAGCCCCCCCAGGTAGTCTCAAGAACTCCAAAAGGGGGGTCTAGGGGATCTAGATGTTACCTACGTGATAGTCTCTCATTGGCCTTTTGCTTTGGTTGAACGTAGGTATAAGATAACGGCCAGGTACCATACCGTTTCCATTTACCGAAACATCTTCCACGACCGACCACGCTGTGTAATTCGGATTTAAGCCCTTTATCGGGACATGCAATGGATCTATTGTTGTGGCGAGTGCAGTTTTATCTAACGATCTTCTATCCTCGCAGCTCTGGGCGAGTTTAAATTCGAAGTTTGCTGTTAACTGATCGCGATGAAAGTTATTGGGCCAATCATAAAGACATTCTTCTACCCTCTCGCGTACCAAATCAATATCCTCGGCCTTCAATTTAATGATATCGATATCATGGGCTTCACAAAAACGGCAAAATTCGCCAACAAATCTAAAGCCAATTGACCCGTTTTGGTAATGTGTTCGGTTAGCATCGTACTTTGCGTTGACGGTAAATCTTCGCAGAACATTCTTCCAATTCGGCGTTTCATCATCAGTGAAATCGCTTTCTGATATATCTTCAAAGGACGTCCACGTATTACCCTCATGGGCTGGTACATTGTTTCGCAGCAGCAGTCTATTGTGATCATCCCACCGTTAGCCATTAGGTATTCTTTTATTTGAAGAGATGAAGAATGAAGAATCATGGTTTCCGAGGAGAGTATGAACGTTGAGAGGGGAAAAATACGAAAAGAAATGGGGGCACCATTACGAACCTGACAAGTCTCCTGGTAGCGTATCGTACAAAATATATTGTCTCTAAGTCGTCGTCATCCCGGCGATTGATAGCGTGAGATTCAAGCTTTCGTGATATCCAACGCTTTTCTCGTGGATGTGGATCTATACGATACTGTTCTCCAGGTCTTTTTGTCATGCTCGAGGCTACTGCGAGGAGAAATTCGAGCTCTATTACCTGTTAGTGTTTGTATGCAACAGCGTGTAAAGATACTCGAGACGTATATTCTTGGCCATAGCTGCAGAATGGCTTAAAGAGGACTCAGTTATGATTGGAAACCAGTATCGCTACGTACTGCAGTATAATTAGCATCCTGAAGTGATAATAAAACATAGCCTAAGATCGGAAATTAAGGGGTGTCTCTTAACTGACCCTATACCGAAAGTCATTATGTCTTCATCGGAATTCCTCACACACACTTCGGGATCATCTGGCTCGTTTGAGCCAACATAATCTCTGTCTGCGAACTTATTTGGAGCAAAGTTCTCCATCCACCGTTCTGTTGGGCCCTGCCCCCAATCCGTTTCCTCGTCCTCATCCTCATTCTCATTCTCATCGTCATCGTCATCGTCGTCATCGTCATCGTCCTCGTCTTCGAGATTGATGATCTTACCGCCTTCACTATGGTACTCCTTGAACCGGCTTGCGTCTGACCCCCAGCCCTCAGCGTTTTGGTAGAACCAGCCCGGTTCGACTTGCTTGGTTACGTCGGTTTTACGCTTCGGCACTTCGGCCCACTCGGTGCCTGATTGGGGTTGGTTGAATCCGTTCTCAGAGACTTGGACAGCTCGAGATGCGGCCTCAAATCCGGGATCGCCCGGGGGTCTCATAGCACCAGCCCATCCCTGGTCCGGGGCCAACTCATTTTGAGCTACTGGCGGTGGCACTGGGTTATCCGATGGCGCTGGAATAGGCGGTGGGCTTGGAATAGGATACACCGGCCGAGCATGTGGTGGCGCGGGAACAGGTGGCGGCCCTGGAACATCAGGAGCGTCAGGCATAGGTTGGTCCTCGACTAGCGTGGTGGTCTTGATAGTGGGTTGAGACCCATTTGGCCCAAGAGTTAGACTTCCGAGTCTGTCAAGTAACCGATTCACGGAACCGCGTGGTCGGATTTTAGTCCTAGACGTCCGTTGGGACGGATTTATTTTACCCTCATGGCTTGGTCCTGGCGGCTGAGGATGCGGTCGCTGCGACGAAGAATCAAGGGGAGTTCTCTTCTTTGCAGCCCGTGTTTGACGCCCCCGTAGTGAATGTCGCCAGTCTCGAAGAGCGTCTCTCATTGTTGACGATGTCTCTGGTTATACCTCTTTTTACTATCTACAATTATAATTTTGAGTTAACTGTAAGCTTGTGTTCGCTTTCTCGACTCTACACATCTATAGGGAGGCATTCGAAATTACATATTACCGTTGAAGCCATAGGTAGTAACTAAGTATATAAAAGCAATCAAAACACTATCCGCAGACGGATAGTAGGTTATAGTCCAAAGAAAGGGATATGTTTTCGGCGTTCTCTTTGTGCGATTGTAATGCTCATCTTTATTCTACTAAGGATTCGAACATGTTCGCAGATGCTTTCTACATTGCTTACATTTTAGCACAAAGACGACATAGTCAACTAACAGCTCTCTACCATTGGTGGTTTAATCGACTACCTTGCCTGGCGATCACGTCAATATTACTAGGATACGTTAAATCCAAGGGAGATTTATAACATTAGCAAAATAAGAGTAAATAACCAGAGGCTTGGCCCTTGCTCACGACAGCTCCCGGAGAATAGTCCAGGGTCAACCATCTCACTTCCAACCTTCGCTCGCATCCGATACTCTTTGCCGAGTATGTGCAGTTACTGGTCTGCGCACTAATTAACATGTTTCGCGATGGTTTCGATGAATGAGACCGCCCAGACCGCTACATATTGGCGTTTACGCGCAATATCTCCTGAAGGCGTTGGCTACTGAACGTCTATGAGCCTAACCTGGTCTCTTAGGAGCACAAATCAATGTCCGATACGGCGTTCACTTCGGACGCATCTGTGTTGCAACATGCGAGATTCGCTTCACGTAACCCTCAAAGCCGTGCTGCGGCTTTCCTCCTACCTAGGTACTATTTGCATGGCTTCTGATTCGATAAAGCAAGGTTGCTGAGAAGTTGTCAGATGCACCCCTATGATATCCCGAGCACTTTATGCGCTCGAGGAAAGTATAAATAGAAACATCAAACCCTACCAGTAGTGATGAATGCTGGGCAAAGTTACGATCCACGACACTAATACACAGTCCCTTTCAAAGATACATAGTTTAGTTATGTGAATACCTACTTATAAACCATATATTCTCGAAAAGATAATTTCGTGGATTACAACTCTCATGCTGTTACCATGGTGAAATGTGTAAGAAATCATAGCAATCCGCCAACCAAAGGCAATACCGGCCGAGAGCCTATTACGACAACAAGCTGTTGCCACGGCAGAATATTAATGTAACTGCTACCATATTCCAAAAATAACCAATGTATGATTTGTTACCGGCCTTTATTTTGAGAGCCATGTTTCCCATTTACCTTCAGTCTTACTCAACTTACTACTACATACAGCACTATCGCGCCTCTAGCCGGCTTACTATGACTAGTTATTTCGGCAAATGCTTCATTCAACCGTCCTTTTGGATGTTAATATGAACTACTTCTACGGCGAGTCGCCGCTGTTAAGATATAACCATCGTTGGTCCCAGGCCCATAAGCGTCAAGACAATCCTCATACCAACCAGATTGACATCGAACATTCATCATGAAAGCATCTATTGCTTCGAGGTTCCTCGTTCTCTTAGCAGCTTCGACCTCTGCGGAGCTCGGGAAGCGACAAGGCGACTATCCTCAAGGCGGCTATCCTGATACCTGCGGCGAAGTCAGATTGGACGACGCAACGATGAATCCGCAATACCTCACGGGAGACTGCGATGACGGCTACGGTTTTACTTACAAAACGCGCCTCGATCTGAACCTGTAAGCACCGCCTTTCTCCCAACCGTAAACGCCGGGCACCTAATGCAAATATCTCTAACCTAGGTGCTACTCCCCGAACGAGGATGGCATCATGGTCCCGACCAACCGGGGTATTGGGTTGAACACTTCGCAAAGCTACGCACCCTGTGTAGATTGCTTCATCGGCAACGGCTACGAACTCCCTCGAACCTACTACGCCTGTGACTGTATCGGTCCCCATGGTGGGACTTTTGCGCACAGTGGCGTCTATCTGGGTGAGCCAATCCCGCAAATCGTCTCGTTCGCGTGAGCGATGACTGACGAGTTTTCGAAACAGACAAACTTATTTACAATAAAAATGGATACCTCGGGTGTTTCGATAACATTGCAGAGCTTAGGCCTTTTTAAGCAAGGGATCCCGTAAAACTGTTTTGGATGAAGGCTTCAGATGTACATCTAGTTATATTATATTGATATTGGAGATATCACACATAAAGACACCCAGTGAAGCCTATATACTATACGTGGGTAATATGGCTTGACAGGTATGACTTGTTATGGCTCAACAGGTTTAACTGTTTATTAACTATATTGAAACTTCGCCAGGGAACTATTTGCTTCTAATTATTTCAGTTTCTTTTAGAGGATTGGAAATCATATGCCTCTATAGTGTATAAACCTAGAGTAAGGAGCCACGCTTGTTCTCACTTTTTAAATAGCAACTTTAGCTAGGGTGGTCAAAAACGAGGCTCCTAGGGCTGCTTGGCTTTTGTCGTGTATACTACATGTATAACATACCTAAACTCTTTACTATTGATGAGAATATAAATTACGATATGGCCAACTGCTTTTACCATTTTACAATGTAGCCTGTAGCTTACCTAGATACCCAAGTTTACCTTATAGACATGGGGTTTATATATAATTCATAACACCTTCGAATGTCAATCACACCAGGAATCACGGCGGACAGATGTATCAGCGGATAAACGCCTATAAATTTGGAACTAAGGGGTTTATTACATTCCAGGCCTCCTTAGTGAATTCTTGCCGAGTATTAACAAACCTCGGCCAACTGCCAATAAGAGGAACCTGGATGCGAAGTTATCTAGGTACTTCAGGTTAGAAACTGGTGTGTGAAACAAGTGTAACAAAAGCCCAATGATTTGACTAAGGCAAAATAAGCCGTCGAATTCTGCTCTTCTTTCCCGTTTACCAACTCAAGAAGCAGGGCATCCACAACTACCCCTGGCGTGGAGCCTATCTACTTCTCATTCTGAACTCCATGACCATGGCTGACTGCGTTAATGCACCTCCCACCACCACCAACAACAACCGCAACCAACTTGCCTCCCGAACTTCGTTGCGCGGTATCGTATACGGTCTTAATCTCGCCCACCTCCTCCACACCCAGGCAGATGCGTTTCTACGCCATATCACCGTAGGCGTATAATTACGATTGGCCTTCTTGAAGATAAGGTGTACCATGTAGACTTAGGAAGTCTTTTTGGGCACCGCAGATCCGTTCGTATACTTGCCAAGATCCGTAGCATCGTGGAACTGGCGCGCAACGCTCTTGATGCCTTCCCAAACAGAGCGCACAGCCGGAGGGTTACCCTGGGCGCCAACTAAGGAATCAACTCTTGATTCGAGCCTTCTGAAGGAGTCCTGAACATGTGTGCTTTGTGCGAATCTAGTTCGGAGGAATGCAGTGTATATAGTAATAAGAATCCAAGAACGACGTTGGAAGAATACTGCCGATAGAAACAATCGGAACCAAAGTAGAATCTCTAGGGCCGAAACAACAGACATTGACGTGTCATAATATTGCTTTACGAAGTTCCCGATGGCCTCAGCAAGAGGGCTAGCGGACTGCGGTTTGGCACCAGGAGAAGCACCAGCGGGAATCTTATTGGGCTGGATAGTGGGAATAAGGTTGCTTCGCGTATAGGTTGCGACGTGGAATATGGAATAAATTCCATACGGAAACAGAGCGAAGGTGTACTGAGGAGCTAGGAACCATACAACTGCCATGGCTTTTAAAGCGAGTATTAGCATTTTCGCACACGATACAAGGAAATGCAGCTGGCATACCAAGATATTGAACGTTCTCATCTGCGAGAAGACCTAGAACTCCTGGACTCTTGGCCCCGACCTTCTGTCGAGCTCGCCATGTCTTGTATACAACGATCCCGTACGTTAGGGCCGCCGAGAAGAAAGCTGTGCGATAGGTAAACCGAGCCCAACGCGAGGTATAGTTGAATGCGATAAGGCCGATGGAATATCGGAAAAGACTTAAAAGAAGTAGAAGGTGTCTATAGAATATATCAGACGTCAGTAATCGAGTTCCTCGTTACACATTACAATGCCAGCCTTGAATCGAGGAAGCGGGCCTCGAAACGAGTCGAGGAATGTAACAGGACTTGACGTACCCGCTAAACCAGGCAACTGTATTGTTGATTAAATGTTAACGAAAGTTGCATGAGAATTAGGGATAGGGAGCTTGGGGGAAAGGTTCGCAATCACTTACACTGTAAAGTCTTGGCCAGAGCTAGAATCCTCTCACCGAGAGGTAGACTCGCAGAGGGCGGAGGAGCCATTTTCTCGGAAACGGCAGGAAAAGAAACAGAGGTAGTCTTTATTCTCGGTTGGAAAAATAAAGTATTGAAAAAAGTATCAAAAATATATTCTCGGATGAAGGCGTAGTCGCGTGCTACTGTTGTAAGGTAGAGAGGATAAATGTTGGTGGGTATGAGATGTCTTGAAGTTCGATGATGTCGTATTGTGTCGTATTGGCAAAAGAGAGCTGAAGAAGCTGGTGAGGTGGCTAGATTTGTACTGGAGGTGGGAAAAATGACGACGAGAACCAATGCTTTGTGTTTGTGCAACCCACTTTACCCACTTTACCCATTCAAGGTACAAATCGTACTTATGATGACTTTACATCTGTTGACCTAATGAGTACGTACATAGGTAAGTACGTACATATCCGGTTGTGGCCGGTGCGTCATCAAAGTTGGAAGAAATATGGCCCTAGCTTCTAGGTACCGTACACTACCTAATGTATGTAGCTTCTACCTTGCACATGCCCGCCTGATATGTGGATGTTACCTAGGTAGGTAGGTAGGTACCTTGGCAGCCGCAATCCAGACAGAGCCGGCAACAAACGACCTACTAGAAGCCTTTCGTCATAGCAACATAACGCCGAGTCTAAACCGCATCCACATCCACACATGCAGCACATCTTGCTTTCCAGTTTCAAGCTCTTTGCTGTCTCAGACTTAGGTATTCTACCTACGTGGCATAACGGCAACGCGCTATAGAATATCAAGTTTTGAATAATATCTGCAATTTAACGCCACTATTAGTCGACATTTATACCGTGTCATGCGTGACGAGTTACCAATCGCGACTTAGCGCTGTGAAAGCTACATGCCTGCCTATATGTACCTAATGTACCTAAGGTAACTAAGATACCCTAGCGTCATCTCAATACGTAACCGAGAAGCACCAATCACGACCTTGTTGAAGTTAATGCGAGGCATATCAATACAAGATAATTTAGGCCACGAGCTTAAGAGGCAGCAGCTTCTACTATTGCAAAATTGCATACATTAAACACGCTTGGCCTAATTAGCAATCAGCTAGCATGATCAGCATGATCGACATCAGTAGCATTAGCTTCTACTATATAAACGATGAGTAAAAGGGAAGTGCATATAATGATATGTACACCCAATTGGCTGTTGGAATAGTTGAGGTCCCTTACCCTTACCCTTACCCCTCTTTTTCATCGACGAGATGGCTTGGCTTGATCTGGCATCAACACGTGGATCCTCAAACCGACACGGCTTATCCATAATCTAGCAGTCAGTCAGCCAGTGAAGCTTCCCAACCGACACGCGGGTATATACTAGGTTAGACGGCCGTGACAGAAGATAACTGGCCAAGATGGCGACGATCAGCTCAGCAGCCCCGCGCTTCAAACTTGTGTTCCGCGTACCCCCGGCAGCCTTAGCGTCCGTCAAAAGCGCAATATTCTCTACGGGTGCGGGTCGTTATCCGGGGCCGGGCAATTACACGGAATGCTGTTGGACAACCATGGGCACCGGTCAGTTCCGGCCCGGAGACGCCGCAAATCCCCACATCGGGAAAGTCGGCGAGCTCGAGGAGGTCCCGGAAGCTAGAGTGGAAACACTCTGCGTCGGCGAGGATACCGTTAGAAAAGCCGTCGAAGCGCTGAAGAAGTGAGTAACGTCGTCGATGGATGCGCCTAGCTATATAGGTATTTATCGAACTCTGCTAACTACCTATCCACTTGGACGCGGATAGAGCACATCCGTATGAGGAACCGGGGTATGAAGTATACAGAGTAGAGGATATTTAACCTCCTTGAAGCAAGGAGTAACAGCGTTATCTATACAAATGGGGTGGCTCATGGAACTAGTTTGAGTCTCATGCAGGTACATTTCCATATTATGGAAGCTAATGAATATATCGATATTCATGATTTGACATAAGCTAAATCGTCAAGTTGATTGCAGTTGCCCCTATTCATATACTATATAGCGGCTTTGTTTCCCTAGCGGAAGAAAATTTTGGGGCCTAAAAATGTGAGATCTGTCACCGGCCTCTTCTAATTGGTCAAAAAGTAACCCTTCAATTCCACTGACTCTGGTGAACCCCCACTAATACATGCTACACTGCATGAATGCAATCTTCTACGACTCTTAGAAAGCATATAAGTTTATGTCTCTACAGTAACTCTGCCTCTCTAAACTATCAAGTCTTGATACTCCTATCGACGACCATGGACAGTTGCACAAAGAGCGACGACCCTCACCTCTCTAACACAGAACAAGTACATGTTCAGATTCAGCCTCCGTCAGACAATGACATAGAGAAAGGCGGCCACATCAAAGACCAGCCCGACGATGCAGAGACTTCGCCGAAGCAATCCGTGTTCAAATCGCTCGGTTGGCTGGACCGCTTCCTGGCTATATGGATCTTCCTCGCGATGGCCATCGGGATCATACTAGGCAACTTTGTGCCGGAGATAGGTGACGCCCTACAGAAAGGTCAATTCGTCGGTGTCTCGGTGCCAATAGGTGCGTTATGCCTCATCATAAAGCGATATATTACTCTAGATGTTTTAATTTGTATTAACGCACAACACTCACAGCCGTCGGGTTGCTCGTGATGATGTACCCCATACTATGCAAGGTGCGGTACGAGACCTTACATGAGATATTCTCGCACCGCGGCGTCTGGAAGCAGATTGCATTTAGCATCTTTATGAATTGGATTGTGGCTCCGTTCCTAATGGTTTGTAACATTCGGTTTATGACAACTACGATGAGACCAATCTATCTCTATGCTCTTCTGCAACATTGGCTAATATGGCTTTACCTATAGCTAGCACTCTCATGGGCATGTCTACCAGATAAGCCAGAGCTTCGTACAGGTCTGATTCTAGTTGGCCTAGGTAGATGTATCGCAATGGTATGGGTACCTACCTTATAGAATATGGGTTCAAGAACAATAGAAGGCTAACTCGTTCTCAAAGGTACTAATATGGACGGGTTTGGCTGGCGGGGATAGCGAGTACTGTGCCATTCTCGTGGCAATCAACTCCATTCTCCAGATGGTATTATTCGCCCCCTTGGCTGTTTTCTTCATTCGCGTGATCAGTCGCGAATCCGACCCACTCGACATCTCGTACGAAGTCGTTGCGACAAGCGTGGGAACTTTTCTCGGTATCCCACTAGGTGCGGCGATGCTGTCACGCTTTGTACTGCGCGCCTTGGCTGGTTCGCAGTGGTACGACCGCGTCTTCTTAAAATTCGTCGCGCCGTGGTCTCTAGTTGGCTTGCTCTACACGATCTTAGTCCTGTTCGCTTACCAGGGCCAACAAGTCGTCCACCAGATCGTGTCAGTTTTGCGAGTTGCCGTTCCCCTTATCGTATATTTCATCGTCATCTTCTTTCTGACGCTCTGGATTACGTATCGGTGCGGATTTGGGTATTCCCTTGGCGCCACGCAGAGTTTTACTGCTGCCAGCAATAATTTCGAACTTGCTATCGCTGTGGCCGTTGCAACTTATGGTCCTAACAGTGACCAAGCCCTGGCATCTACCGTTGGGCCGCTTATTGAGGTACCAGTGCTGCTTGGGTTAGTGTACGTCGTCAAGGCGATAGGGGATAGATGGGCCTGGAAAAACTAATTCGTATGGTGCTGAATTCGAACCAAGGCATAATGTGTCTGTAACTAAATAATATCAAACACATTGACGTGAAACAATATTTGTTAGTACCGATCACTGCCTTTGTTCGATAGTGTGCCGCGAGAAATGAAAAATAGGGGTACAGCCTATAACTCAGTCATTGGTGTCCTTCTTTTCGCTTCTCTTACCGAGAAATAATATAACGAAAATGCAAGAATAACACTAGTATCTACTATTTATGGTTTGTCACTAAGGCTAATCGTAATAGAAAGCTAAATGATAGATCCATTCGACGTATCATTATATATATCACAAGTCTCGCATGGCCAAGCTGTCAGAGAAACCACGCATAGCCATAGGTATAGCAGTGAGCCCTAGCTGCTAAATACACTTGATATTCATCCTATTCTTCTCTAGGAGTTAAGTAATTTGTGGTCCATGTTAGAAGATTTGAATCTTGTGATGTCCAATAACTCCAATCCAGTGGACACAGGCCTAGCTTTCCCAGAAGCGCAAAACACATGTTCCATATGACTAGAATCCAAGTCCACCTAGAGAGAGCCGGTAATATATAATACAAGTGTAGACTAAGCAAAAAGGACTTGATTTTGCCGAGGACGTTGTATCGTAATGTTATTGTGAGCACTAAGTCCATGTCGTTTAGAACGCTCTCCTTCTGTAATGCGAAGTCGACTTGGCGGTCTTGATCAAGTTTGACTGTTCTGGCCGCCGGCATGAATCTGTCACGAGACCAAATACGGTCCTGTAGCTGGGCTGCAAATAGCTGCTCGGCACGCTCGCACGCAAGTATACTCTCCTGGTCGAGAATATCCTCGTGAACCTCGAGTAGGGGCGTCAACAGAAAATTGCGTGGATTAAAGGCGAACACCGCAACTATCCGTTTACCGCATAGAGCATCGGCTACCGCAATAGCACCGGTATTCAAACCCTGTCGTGGAATATATTCAAACACTGCTGTAACTGAGCCTATGGGTTGTGGTATGCCATTATTATGCCGTTTCCATCGGTCTTCAGGAACGGCATTAGTCTGTCTAAGGCTTTGTGCGTGGACTTTGTTATAATACCGAACCCACAGACGGTTTGACGGTCCGGTTGGACCTTGGAAATTTGCCGAGGCAAACAGCACCATTATACTCCGCGTCTGTACACTCAGGACATCCCCTGTGTCTATAAATCGAAGGCGGTAAGGCGGTACTCTTGAGTCCTTGCATACGTGGAATACATCCTCCCCTATGGAGGACTGTGACGTTGCCGTCAATCTAAGTGCTACCAGAGCACCCTTAGCTTGACAGTGTAACACCCCCAGCGTCCCTTCTCTATGGGTCTCGATGATAGGTAAGGAGATGCGCAACCCTCTATTAGTAAGTTCGTATGCGTCCGGTAGAGTTTCGCCCACGGAGCTAGTGATGTTGCCGCTCTTCGAGAAAGCAGACACGGATGGTGCTAATAGAGAATCCGCCTTTTCAGAATCCCATGCGAATATTGAATGGTCACAATGGGTCTTGATGATTTCCTCTTGTAAACGGCGGAATGCACTCCGCCCTTCGCCATACAGAAGCGGCATATTAACCTCGAATATCCCAAGCAGACAGTAAGCCTCGTCTTCGAGCCGGGTGGTTTGACGGTTTGCCGCCCACGACATTCGAGTTGCTACACTGAGAACCGAAGGGCTCCGCAACCCCTTTAGCACAGTGGCGTCTATATTTGTGATTTGGCAGATCAACTTAAGTAAGGCGCCTTCTCTTGTGCCCAAGAAGTTCCAGCCCTGGCCAAAGAATCGAAGCTCTCGGGGCGCGATTAGCTCCTGCAGTGTCCAACCCCGTGTAAACCACCTCGCACCCTTGAAAGCGCCGATCCAGGGCTGTAGATCTGGATCGCTCTCTGGGTCGCTCTCCTGGCCACCTTTCCCGGTCAAAGGCGGACATTCCCAGGGTACGTCTTCCATGTAAACATAGCAGACTACGCTATCTTTATACCATCTATACATGGAGTTGATAGACTCGGTCAGTTCTGCGCTGCTAGTCTTGTCCATGCATACTGTATCTATCCAGACATACTGTAACCCGTCTTTCTCTGCCTGGCGACACATAAATTCAATTTTTCGATAACCTTTCCTCGACTTGGCCTCCGGTCCCGAATACATTTGAAACGTAACCTCATCCTCACCCCAGGTATGGGATAGTATAGCAAAAGGTGGCTCATAACCCCCAAAATTCTCGAGTCGCATAGTAGTCGTGTTGATAAGCCACATGGTAGTCTCGAGTAAGATCAGCTATAACGCTGATATGTACCTTGGGTAGTCCTAATTCAAATAAAATAGTATATTAAACGGATCGTAAGATTATATTCCATATAAAGTATCAGTCGTATAATTTAATTAGAAATAAAGTTAAGTTATGTGCTTACCTTGGGTAATATATACCTACCTCTTATATACAGGTATATATGTGTATTTTCACCATGATGCACATCTGGAAAGGCGGGGTTACTATGCATCTCATTGGCTATACTGGTCGAATATATGCGAATCTTGCATTAGGCAGTAAGCCTTGCAAAGTGTAGCCTACCTAAAGAATATGTCTTAGCTGAGGGCTAGGACTGTTTCCATACCTTCCAGGCTTGCCTCGTGATAAAGACACCGTGATAGCGAAGCACCATGCTATCTTAACTCGAGCATCGTTTTACAAAGTGCTAGACTTAACTTAAAAGAATTCCCAGCTAGAATTCCTCAAGTCAATCAAGGCAAATTAAAAGTGAAAATTCCAAGGCTGATTCTAATTCATCTATTCATCGCTTCTATCTATATCTCCACTAGAAATGTCCTCGCAATATTCGTGCCTAGCAACTTGAAATCATCCGCGTAATGGTGCCGTATCAAATCGGCAATGGCAAAATGCTCTTCACTTTCTGCGCCTTGTATTGCTCCGTCGTATCCTGTCTGCCCTCGATCATGACTGAGCGCCCCAAGGCTCAATAGGAATTGTACCATATCAAGCCTTCCATACAAGGCAGCCTTGTCTAACGCAGAATAATACCGGGTTTCAGACCACTTCTGTGAAGGTGCATTCACGTCTGCTCCCCTTTGGATCAATAAGAGCGCCACTTCCATATCCCCCTCGCCAGCAGCAATTTGCAGGGCCATACCGAAGTTATAAGAACCCTTCATTCCCGGAAGGGCATTCACATCCGCTCCTTTCATTATCAAGAGTTGTATGACTTTTATCATATTCGCCCGATCCGTTGCTGATTTCGGATCAAATAGACAAGCAGCTTGGAGCGCTGTCGACCCCATCTCCGGTCCTGCGGGAGCATTAATGTTAGCACCCATACGTACCAGTCGCTCGACCAAAGCCATATGGCCTTTGGAGGCTGCGGCCTGGAGTGCCGTCATTACTCCATTCTTTTCAAATGCGGGCATATTAATGTTAGCTCCCATACTCACTAACTGCTCGAGTAGATCCATATTACCTCGGTAGGCTGCGGCTTGGAGGGCGGTACAAGGAAATCCGGTATGACCACCTATATAATATGTGTTGATATCCCCAAGACTCTCTAGAAATTCTTGAATTAACCCAGGCGGGCTTTTTCCGCATATTAGACCTGGAAGTATATCAGCATTCAGCATTGGGGCACCGTGCACACGAAACAATTCAAACAAAGACACCCCCAGCCGCTCCAAGTCGCTATGTCCAGGAGATAGATATAGAGTGGCACAGTCTGCCAATATACACACTTCGGGGCTGGATAGGTCGTGACGGTCCAATCTCGAAACAAAAAATGTAATGAGATCAAGAAGAATTGGGTCGATCCATTCATCATCCCAGGCATGGACAAGAAGGCGTTGTAGAAATCCGGCAGCGTTTGAATGGTGGGAGTTACTTTTCCACTCTGCGCCGTGGTCGATTAAGTGATCGAGCATTGCCAAACTTGCTAGATTGGTTTCTTGCATGGAGCACCCTTCAGGAAACTCTTCAAATATATTTGATCTCCATAAGGTACTTGCCAATCCAATTACACTCCACGGTACTGAGTCGATAATTGCCACAGCATTAATGTCTGCACCGGCTTCTAATAGCCACGACACCGCTTCGTAATTGTCGAGACGAGCTGCCGTAGACAATGCTAATACACCATATTTGTTCACATTAGCACCAGACTGGGCTAGGAGCTTCAAGATGTCGATGCCTTCTTCCTCAACTCCAGCCTCTAGGACGTTTGAATCTATGACTGATCCTGACTGAATAAATATTGTTAAAATGGGTGCAAAGTGTTCGTCGTAGCCGTGTGTGCGTGCATGCGTCACTATATGCCAAAGGAAATAACCGCTACCTAATTGCAACGAAGTAAGATTTGGGCCAATTCCAAACTCGATGAGGCTTCGAATAAGGTCTGTGTCGATAGCCTGACGTTTATCAAAGAATTGCTCGGCAAATACCAACTCCAAGAATGCAGTGCCATCAGAGTCAAGCCGGGCCGGTCGTGATGTCCAATACTCTCTGAGAAATTCGCATCCCCGCTTCGCTGAGAGGCAAAGATCCGGGCGGAAGAAAAGCCGAGTTGTTTGAGTGCTGTACGGTGCTAATCTATAAAAGGCTTCTACATCTAAGTAGTAACTTTGTTCGAGGATCGTCGGTAAATATTTCTTAGGGCGTTTATCCCTTAAGATTGGATTTAGTGATATCCTATCGAAGTCGTATTTGTATGTTGCGTCGACATTCGCACCGCTTTGCAATAGCATATCTAATGCTCGACTTTGGGACTTGTCCCCGAGGCTGAATTGTATTATCATAAACGTTTCGTCGTAGGATTTCCGAAAAGAATTTGGTGGATATGCGTGATCTCGTTTTGGGGAGGTTGAAATGGCCCGAGTACCTAAAGCAGAAATAAAGATGCAGAAAGTAGAAACACCAAATCGAACTTCACAATTCACGTCACATGTTGTTAACAGCAGCTTCAGACATTCTATGTTGCCAGTAGCAGCTGCTTCGATAACAGCAGGGTTTTGATAACCCTTAATTCTGCCATCAGCACGAATTCCAGCCTTCGTTAGGCTCTGGATAACATCGAGGGCATTCATCGACGCAGCGAAAGAGAGGTACAGTGCTCCCCTAGGGATAATCCAGTTGCGGTGGACAAGCCCGACCATCATCAAGGAAATAAATGCATTTCGATGGCCATATTTACCAGCACAGTCTGCTAAGTATTGCCACGCAGTCCTGATTGTAGGAAGATCTTCTAGGAAGAGACTTTTTAAGACTTCTTGGGGAATTCGGTCGAGCAAAAGTTGAATAGCATTAGGGCATCTGCTAAAGTGACCGTGACTTGTTTCCAACTTATTATTGGAAATTAGATGAAGAACTTTTGATAGGAGGTAAAATATGTCCATGTTTAATGTAAGTGCCGAAGAAGAGGGCGTATGACTTGGTAAAGGCAACTTATGTGGTAGGAATTCAGCCCCCCATGCCTCAGGCGACTCTAGCTCGGATTCGAAATATATAGTGAATGGTAGAGATTCGAAGCTTACTGATAGGTTCAGTATTCTGCTATATTCACTTGAGCAGTGTAAGGTGGCAGTCATGTCTAACACCAATGTTAATTTGGAAATTAAGATTATTATGTAGGTTAGTATAAAGTGTCTTATATGGGTTAGGTACTCACGACATATATAGTTACTGAACTTGACCCACGGAATACTCCATAAGGCAGTGATAACGCCCCAGGAAGAAACTTCTAACAATTCCGCAAGTCTACCTCCTTGGGCTTGGTAATTTATTGAGGAACCTATATGGCTTTGTGATGAATTAATCGTGTTTCGCGTGCTATATATCAAAGCCCCAGGCGATGATGGCGCAGGTGGCATCGTCATTGAAGAAGCTAGAAGCCGAGGGGAAAGGCCTTGAGATCCCTCTTGCCATTTTGGCAAGGCATGAGGCACGAGGTACCCGACAGGTGATGGTGTTCTTACAACTACGTCTCTTGGAAGAGGGATGTCTTGACCTATATTAGGGTCAGCCTCTAACAATGTAGCATATAGATAGGTAGTAAAGCGCTTGAGCTTGGACGAGGCTGGGTTATACCCCTTACCATTGTCTACCAGTCGAGCTCCTGATCTTCTAATATCCTTCCACACTTTGTGCTGTGGAATTTCTGTCCCGTTAAGATAGACCCCGGTGGGCTTGTCGCCTCTCTTTAGGCGATGATGGTGCACGGAAACCCAATCGGATTTTTTGAGTTTTTTGCGCAAGTGAAGCTCATTGCGGAGTTTGGTTTCGTAAGTCAACAAGCTGTTGATATTATTAGCAAGGCAATTGGAAGATAGTATACGCTGACATACGAATTGACAGGAAATCCATGTTCGCTTTCCATGATCTCCTTTACTTCTTTGAGTGTTCTCCGCTCTGTCTGATAGAGCCTCAGGAATGTGAGTCTGTGTTGTTCCCATATCCCTTCTCCAGGATCTGGATCTGGACGGCGGCGTTTGACAGATGGCATAATGGTTGAGTTGTCATAAAGAGAATAGATAGCGATGATAGGTTTGATGATGGTGGAACTTTTGGACAGCTCTTCTTTCTGGTTCTGATAATGGGGAAGACAGCCATATATTCAAACTTAGAGGGAGGGGGGGATCAGGCAGCGTAGGACTTTTATGCTCATACTACCCTACCTACCTTGTCGACATGTCCTCGTCGATATGTCCTTGTCTGTCACGAGGTGGGACCAAACAATAGGGAAACAACTTCTATCTACGAGGGCCTATGTCTACCTATACATAGTAAACACGCCCTTTTTGTCCTGGATGTCTCATCCAGAATCCTGACATTGTCGATATGTTAGCTTTGTGGCTGATTCATTAAGCTGCGTCCAAAATCTGTCCTCTCTTATTGGACTGTCCAAAATCTACACTCTCTGATTGAATTGTCCAAAGTCTGACTGCTTTGATTGGATCCAATATAGCCTTGCTGCAATGTCCAAATTCTTGTCCAAATTCTGAATGTTCCTATTGACGCAGTCCTTAATTGACTACGGTAGTAACAAGGCGGCTTCTTATTTAAGCCCAGTGTTTAATGCTTAATATTGATACTAATGCCGATGCCGATGCTAATGCCAATGCTCATGCTATAAGCCTATATGTAACTGCCAAACGACAATTAGGTTACATATGGCCTCCTATTCCCAGTGAGACAGTTTAAGTACTTGTTTCCTCGTCATGTAGTCTCCTACTATATAAGAAGATAGCCCCTACTATCTCTAATGATCATGAAGCTATCCCTAGAAGTAAGTATCCAGACTCGCATTTACTTCAGTTATTTCATCCTAAACTTAGGATGACAGTTTCAAACGAGACAATCATTGGGATAGCCACTTTGCTCATAACGTGCCTTCTTCCAGGTCTCCGTTTATTCATACGATTCATTCGTCGTCACAGGGCTCAACCAACCCAGGAGAACACAACTATTCCCATTGGTTTAATCTCTGGGCTTGACGAGATACCTTCACTTGAGAGGGGGATGCTCTATACTACAGTAAGTACTAATTACCTGGTATATAAAAAATCTCAAGCGGTTAATGCATAGGACACGAGCATAGAGGAACATTAGGGTTGACACACTCATAATCCGGTCATCGAACGTGCCGAGCCCACACTGGGACGTTCATCAAGACGGGTCGGAACTCGACACTGTCCACAGATAAAAGTCCCGGAAGACTTACATGGTGGATGCATGAGCGAATCAATATATTGATAGCTACATACGACCGCAGCTAGAAGAAAAAACTTATTATAGCTCAGGTAATTTCGATGGGTACACCGAAAGGGCTAAGTATAAAACGATAGCTGATTTTGACCTCGCAGCACGAAGTCTAGACTACAGCTACAGATATAATCGGGTTGGAGATGATAATAACGATGACTCAGTGCTTAGGTACATATATGGTATTATATGGAGATGTACGAGGATATTTTCTTAAGGGTATCACAAACAGGCACGAATCAGTTTCATGGAAGATATTTTAAAGTTATAGCAGATCGTGTTGATTCTATCAACATTATCTATCTATTCGAGGATTGCCCTCTATCGAACTAGAATTGTAACACGTGAACTATTGTCACGTCATCAGTACTTTTTCTGTCTCAGTCCGAGCCAAAGACGCCTAGATCTAATCGTAGCTGGTAGCTAATAGCTAATCATCATCTCATATTGCTTTAGGTTAGCCAAGAGATATGCCATGTCGTAACCGTGGATCCGAACAAGAAGGTACTCTTGCTATCTCATCAATCATTCATCCTTCGTGATACTCATTAGAAAAGGAAATCAAGAAAATTCTGTCGTGTGAAGGGATCTCCTTCTGCTGGGGTAAGCTCCCGGGTTTCTGATAAATTGGTCTCCAAGCTGTCATTCTCCAAAACATATGGCGTTCATGAAATTGTGAAAATCTGAGATGTCCCCGTCCTCTGGTACATATGAGGGGGCGAAGGACTGTAGTCTCGCATAAAAAAAATCAATGGCTGGGATATATGCCTTAAATACGCATAATCCGGATAGCGTAAATATCATTCATCGTAAGGAAATCGTCAGGTCTGGTATAGTCGTATACAAATAAAAAAGTGCGTTAGTGTTGAAGTAGGTTAAGAACTTGATTGTTGAAACTCATGACGGGGGTGATTGAGAACGTCTGCGATCGCTGCCGCGGTTTCGTAATTCTCTCAATCGTTGATCGAGATAAGCCAATCGAGATGCCAACGATGGTCTAGATGGCGATCGTGCTTCCGAACGCTCCCTGATTGGCTGCTGTACAGTCGCAAAAGGTCGGCGTAAAGCTGTTAAATTGAAATTAATTGGTGCTGATAGTCTATTAGGGAAACTGTAGCTAGAACCTGCGCCAGAGAATGGAGATCCTAGGCGACGTGGCTGCACAAATGGGTCTTGAGGCGCTGCCGCTGAGATGGTGTGTAAAACCGATGAAGTAGAAGGCTCTCCGTAATGGGTTTCCTTGGTGAATACATCGTCCTTTTCCGAAGCTTCTTTCCAGAAAGCGGCTGCTAGGCTCGGTCGCTTTCGCGGTAGGTCCTCAACGTCCTTCACCGACCTCCGCTTTTGTGTTCCCGAGCGCGATCTAGTCAAACGAACAGGCGACTTGAGAACCTTTCGAGAGCCTAGAGAATTTGACTGCCGTGGCGGGGTTATATCGGCAACAAAAGAGGATGATGAGCTGGGGCCGTAGCTCTTAGCCATGACCGGAGATGGGAGACGGGCAAGTTCCGGAGATGGGAGTGCTTGTCTAACGATAGTCTCAACATCCTTGGTGAACTCTGGGAAGGGTTCACTTTCGGAGCTTGTGAGTTGAGCGAGAGGGGCATCAAGCTTCATAGTATCCGAAGTGCTGACTGCCAAAGAAAAGGCCATATCGCGAGCTGAAAATGCCGCAGATGACTGAGCTGGGACTGATTTTCGATTCCAGCGACGATGAGCCGCCTTGTGAAAGGGTGTAGGACTCCGGGACTTGTATCGCCCTGGACTAGCGGCGGCCTTCATCCTACAAAGCTCACGTAGGTGAGCTCGGGTAGCTGCACACGTATGGGGCCATTCAATATATGGTTTGGCGGACTCCGCGGTAGGGGTGTTGCTTCCACTTTTCATATCCACTGTTAGATGTCCCTTAGAACCTTTCCAACTTCTTTTAGCCTCGCGTGCGACGCGCAAACAGACCCCATTAGGAGGGATACGACTTCTACCTAAGCGTATCGGCGTTACTCGCGGGTCTTGTAGATATAACATGTAAGTCGACCATAGGTGCGAGTCCATAGCCTTGGTCCATGGTGCTTTTCGCGACCTCTCTTTGTGCGGTACATTTACATTAGTATCAGACTCGAATTTGGGGAATTCTAGAGCCTTAAGCTCTGGGCTCATATAATTGCTATCCTCAGAAGCATGCGAAAATTGGCTGAACAGCGAAGAACTAGTCTGAGTGGAAAATGCTGTTGACGGCCTGCTAGACTCGTACTCAGGACTTGACTCGACATCCGAGTAGCTCCACTCGGACCCAACAGACCAGTCGGGGAACTTTGTTTCGGAAGGCGGCGCGAACTCTATTGCAGGTGTCTTCGGGGGCGAAAAGGTTGGCGCGTTTAAGTGTCCGTATATTCCCATGCTGTCGGGCTCCTCTACCTCGATACTTGGAACTGGCACATCTGCTGCCGCGACCGACGCCAAAAACTGCTGAGTTGGCGCGTTTAGGTGCTGAGACACATGTCGTCTCTTTAGTTTCAATCGTGGCCGTGGTGGAGATGGTAGTCTAAACTCGTCGCCGGGGGCAGAAGGTTCGGGTGTCTTCGGCCCCTGACTTAGACCACGACTACTGGAATTGAATTGTAGCATTGTGGAATGTGAATGGCGCATCGGCGGTTCCTATACTATCCGCCGCGGTAATCCTGAATCAATCAGATAGACGCATTCATGACCGTTCAAGAAATCCACCTCATTAATCACACCGGCTATTAAGACGTCGGGGTCTAGGATACCATCGGCGCAAGTCACAGTTTCTCGAAGTACGAAGCCAGAAGAGTTTATGTCTATATCTGTTTTGTCGCACAATTGGGAAGATCGAAGGAGTATCTCGTAGAATCGCGGTTAGGTTTTCTTAGTTGATCGATTGTGATAGCGCATAGTTAGAATTCGACGGGAATGAAATGGGCGGGCTCGTGGACGGGCGTTCGCAGGATTCACGTTAAGGGAATAGGTGAAGTCGTAGAGTAGGTAGTATGCGATCGCGCGCGTGCTTCGTGCGTAGGTAGAATAGTGGCTACCACGAGGGGGAATCGGTAGCCACCCTCCCAACCGAAAGATTAGGGGAGGAAAAGGAACGACAGATTAGGTATTGAAAAGAAATAGGAGGCAAAATGTAAAGAGGATGCGAAAGAGAGGATAGTTAAGGTGTGGGCTTGAGAGGGAATAGGTGGATGGGTAGTAGAATCACGTTGCGCTGCAGGTGCAACTGACAGGGGCCGATTAGGAAAGACTAGGATTGAAGACTTAAACAGAACTAGGAACTTGTATCTCTTGTATCTATCGATCGTACATCGTAACTGCGTACTGATCCTTACACTAGCCCACTGGAATTGTACTTTGACCAGAATCAGCAGGCGGGAGTGGCACTGGCGCGAACCCTGCGTGCTGATTCTGGCAGTTCTAGCGGCATGAAATACAGCGCTAAGCCGTTTATAGAGCTAAGGTTTACTAGAGACCCCACTACAGGGAGTGGGAAACTTCAAGCGGTCAGTTGGGGTTCCTTGCTCCAAGCCAATGCACAAACCTCCAAGACTAGGGCTTAATGTGACTTTAGACCTTATTTTCTAGCAAGTACATCTAACATTAACCAAGGTAGGTAAACTAGGTAAACTAGGTAAACTACCGCTATGTATGTACGTGCTACTACTACATGGATAGGTACTAGTCGACTAGGTACATGCAACAAGAAAATTTTGAACAAAGGGG